CTAGCTCAATTTCAGAGCTAGAAACTTTTCTTCTTGATTCTTCTAAACACTTCTAAAGTTATTTTCTTGAAAATTTCTGCATCATGTGGGAGGGCGCTACTTTTTTCTCAAGCTTATTGTTTTGATTTTCTGATTTTCTACGCTATTTCCTTGCAACTTCTAAACCACTAAAAAATACTTTTCTCTCGCACAAGCTTTTTTCCACCTTTAAATACAGATTTTCGAATTGTTTCCCTTATAGGAGTTTCCAGCTTCATTTCTTTATTTTTCAGAACAATCCAAAGTTATTTTTATGCAAAATTTCGCGCCACCTGGGAAGAAGGACTTTATTTTCCTCTCAATTGAAATACACATTTTCTCAAACCGTTTTTTACTACTGGGGTTTTTAGTTTATTTTCTTTATTTTTTCCAGTATTCGCAAAGTGATTTTTCTTCAACATTTCCAACTTGGAAACGGAGGCTAATTCCCTCTCAATGTGGTTTTTCTCCACCTTCAAATCGAAAATTTGAATTTTTTCTTCTATTGTTTCTATTTTTTATGTTTCCAACATTTGCAAATATTTTTTTGTGAATCTTTGCGCCTCTTGGGAAATAAAGACGCTGTTTTCTTTTCAACTGATTTTTTTACCGCCTTTAAAACGAGCTTTCCCCTAAACGAAATACGCGAATTCCCCCTACTAAGGTTTCTTATTTTCTTCATTATTTCAGTCAATCCAAATTTTATGCACAATTCTATACTAACAAAGGACGCTTTCCTTCCTTGAGCTTTCCAGCATTTTCAGAACCGGTTTTTCGAATTTTTTTCTTAGCGTTGTTTCTAGCTCGATTTCTCTATTTTTTCAAAATCTTCAACCTTATTTTCGTGCAAATTTTTCCACCACTTGGAAAAAGAACGCCACTCTCCTCTCCTCATTGAGTTTTTCTCCACCTTCAGATCGAGTTTTTCGAGTTTGCCAGTGTTTTTCTTGCCCAGCGCATTAGCCTGCTCTGCTCTGGTTTACTTCATTGTAGCATTGCCGAGCCCTCTGCTTACGTTATTTTCTTTCGCCAATTTGCTGCAAATCTTTGCAGCCGCTGAGCACTTAATGAAGAGAACTCACTTCTATAGTTTTTCGGAACTTCCATCATGCTTTCAGAGCAGGAGATTTTGTTTAAGAAGTGAGAAATCAAAAACTCTAATTTCGAAACAATTCTGTTTTTTTAATTTAATTTGCTATTTGTAATTTTATTTGGGACCAGGTTTCATTTGAATACTTTTGTTCATTTGCGATTCTCTTCAACTGCAGGGGTGTATACAATCAATGATTATTGATTTTATACAGCTTCTGTTTCTCACCTCCAGTAAGAACACACCTCCAAAAAGCTTACTAGAAAAATTGTTTTGGTGAGGAAGCTCACGCTGTAGTTTTTTTCCTCCGCACTCATCCAAGGTCTCGAAAGATTCTATACGGGACTTTCCGCAGATAGTTGTTAAAGAAATTCTATGAAGTATATATTCACTGGATGATTTTTTTAATGATCGTGGCCTTCCACTTCTTTATATCATTCGTTAGCGTGAAATATAATACATAAGAAACCATAGTTATAAAAAAATCTTGTTGAGAAAGCTTACTTCAGAGTTTTCTGAAGGCTTCCGCAATGCATTCGAGGCTCCAGAAGACATTTCAGTGAGAAAATTTATGGGACCAAATTTTATACGGATAGCCTTTCCACTCAAAAATGTTCCTATAACTGCGAGATTCTATAACTACAACAAATTTGTTCCGTAAGGCTCGTCCCCACCTTATTTTATTAATTTAAGATTCACTGAATTATTTGCTGGAAAAGAATTTTGAGATGAAGAAGCTCATCTGCATTCAATTTTCCAAAAGATTTTTTGCAAGAATCACGACATTTTACAGAATGTCTTCTTGTTATAGTTTGAATTTTCACAAGCCTAGCGATTATTCTGGTAATTTTATGGGCGAAAAATACGTTTGAGACAAAAAAAAATAAAACAAACAAATCAATGAAATATAATAGGTAACTATTAATTTTCAAAATTAAAAAGATTTGTGGCTTTTATTCATTCGGTTAGACATGCTTTACTTAAAAGTTGTTTGTTTATGCAGGTAGCGTTATAAGAGTTAGAAAGAATGATTTATTAGAGGTTGGAGCTTTTGAACTTAGACTGATAGCTGTGCCCAGCTTTATCGTGACTAAGATCGGGACCGCACCGCAGTTTCCCGCTAATTGAACATTTTTGAATTGAGTTAAAGATTCTTTATATATTAGATAGATGAATTTGGGTGAAATTAATTTTAATCATTGACCTTTGCGGAAATAATATTAGGTTGTCTCATAATTAATGCACGTTTTTATTTGCTTGCTTTAACAAAGCAACGAGACTCAACCCAACAAAGGGTAAGGGGTACTGTTCGATAGAGCAAAGCAAGCTCTACAAGATGGCAGTCATGCCTTTGCGCCATGCTCAATCCACGGAGAGTTCGAACTCAAAATCTAAAGATTTCCAAATGCCCAAAAAATCGAAAAAAATCAGATCTTCCTCCAAATATTTTCTACGGACCTCCCACTCGCTCACATCAATACTATCGATATCTGATATCCATATGTGCGATTGCCGTATTTTTTTCTTGACTAGAAACTGAGAAAACGAAAATTTCCCTGATTTTCTCAAAGCAATGCTGAGCCGTTTTTGCATATGTAGTTCTATACTACAAGCCTAGGTAAGCATAACTGTAGGTTTTCAGCACAATCCAAGCGGTAGTTTTCAAAAAATAACGAATTCGGATTTTTTCGTTTCAGTTTCAGTGCTAAAATCGACATTTCTCGAAAAGTACCGCTCGAAATAGGCTGAAAACCTACAGTTATGCTTACCTAGGCTTGCAGTATAGAACTACATATGCAAAAACGGCTCAGCATTGCTTTGAGAAAATCAGGGAAATTTTCGTTTTCTCAGTTTCTAGTCAAGGAAAAAATACGACAATCGCACATATGGATATCAGATATCGATAGTATTGATGTGAGCGAGTGGGAGGTCCGTAGAAGATATTTGGAGGAAGATCTGATTTTTTTCGATTTTTTGGGCATTTGGAAATCTTTAGATTTTGAGTTCGAACTCTCCGTGGATCGAGCATGGCGCAAAGGCATGAGTGCCATCTTGTAGAGCTTGCTTTGCTCTATCGAACAGTACCCCTTACCCTTTGTTGGGTTGAGTCTCGTTGCTTTGTCAAAGCAAGCAAATAAAAACGTGCATTAATTATGAGACAACCTAATATATACAGAACTTTGTTTTCATCGCTATATAGTATACGTCAACCACAGCCAAGTTCGAGCATTTTTTCCAATAAGAATTATTTTTTGTTGGCAAATTAAGGTGTTCCAGTCAAGTAAACTTTTCTGATGTGCCGACCTTTCATTGATCAAGATAAGATCCACGAGGACAGCTTTGAGAAAAACATATATTCTAGTAAAATTAAACACGTAAATAGATTGTATGTCTCCCTTTTGTAAAACCTTGGCATTTTCTGTAGATATTGTTTAATTGTTTTAAGCCGAACAATTGAACAATAAACACGCAAAATCTGGCAAGAAATCTGTTCACTGATAATTTAACCCTTGATGGTCTTCACTGAAATGAATGAATCTTGAGCGGAAAAATCAAACGTATACCCCCTTTTTCTAATCAGCTCAATAGGAGGGTATAATCTATTTTTGATTCCAAGATTGTACCCCCTTATAATAATTGATTTTTTTTTCGAAGGAAATGTTTGTTCTTTGAATAATTTTTCTCTGTCAAATTTTTCTGTTCAAAGTCTAAAATGTGCAAGCTGCACGAACATGCTGTAAAATTGTTTATTTTATTAGCAATTTATTCGTTACAGCTGTGGCGTTACAGCCAAAGGTTCTATGCCGTTTTGCATAGCCTGGATTCGCTGCTAAACTGCCTTTCGCGTTTTCTACATCCTTTCATCTCTTGGGTAACTGTAGCTTACCGTAATCAAGCTTCATTCAGGCAGTATTTCGAAAAATTGGATCTAAATAGTTTATTTTTGCAGAAGTGAGTAAATTTTCCGGATAACAAAACAAAGAAAGCAGACTCCAACATTGCACTTTGTTCTAGCATTTACGAATTTCAGTCTTGTGACTACTGTAGCTTACGGTAATCACACCGTACCTCAGAATATACGAATCTGAAAATTGAATATTTTTTATAGTCTCAGCCTTTTACTTTCTCACAAAAAAACAGTAAGTAAAAAAAGTAACAGTCCAGCTTTATTTCACTGTTTCCATATCTATGACCAACTACGCCTCTGTCAGCAACTCTAGCTTACTGTAAACACACTGTAATAGGACTGTATCGAAGATCTAGATCAATAAGAGGTTTGGAAAGCTCTCAAGTTCTGCAAATTTCTAACAAAAAAAAAAACCAAATTTGCTTGAACGTTAGTTTCACTGTTTTCACACTTCCAATTCTGATCAATTTTCGGGCCCTTAATTGGCTACTGTAGCTTACTGTAAAAATACTGTATCTGACGAATGAGAACTAATAGTGTTCTTTGTGGAATTCCAGAGTCTCGGTGAATTTTTCACAAAAAAACGCAATCCTATTCAGAGGTTTTTCGTTACAAATGCGTCCATATTTTTGACCTGTTTACTGTAGCTTACTGTACGCATACTGTATTTGAGCGAAATACCAGGAATTTCGAGATTATAAACGCTTCTGAAAAGTTGCAGTCCTCCCAAATCTCATAATAAGGACTATCTTGTTTATGCTTTTATAAGCGCAATATTTTCATAACTTCCTCAACCACTTTGGAGAAAAAATGACCGTTTTGTTTTTTTCTGTTCGGGACCGCGCGCAATAGATATCCTACTGACATCATTAGCGTTTTTCTGAAATTTTTGTTTTTGCAGGACATAATCGCCACCTCTGTGTCCGGATCTTCTCATAGTGTGCTGCTAAACGTACATTCCGTTAATTCAACAGAAATTGTGGCATGGGAAGTCGCATGAGCTGTTCGTGCCAGGACGCGTACTGCGGTGGAGTAGACGAACGACGGATCCGGTAAGGCGATAGACGTTACATTGCCGCAGTTTTCTCACGTGCTATCACTTTCTCCTTGCTCATCTCGTATTCGGGGGGGGGGGGGGGGGGAGAGAGATGGAGGGGGATAAATACGAGCCGCTATGGCTCGCGCAACAGCTCCGCCAGTGAATGGCACGGGGGAGATGCCAAATTTAATTGATGACCAACTTAGACATGCCGTTGGCACTCTTTCTCACATGCCCCTAATGCGCTCTGCTACAAATCAGCTGCGCTTTTTTGCCCCCCCCCCCTCCCCCAAACTCTCTTCCGACGTCGAAAAAACATCATCGGCAGCAAATGAACTCGTGCTGATGGCTTTACATTGCACTTGTCTACTAGCAAATTGACATCGCCTTCAAAAAGTCATTAATTTCGGAGTGGACTAAGCGATAGGACCAGCTATATGTTTTATTGAAAAAAGGGGATCAAAATTTCTCTTAGAAGTTTCAGGAGATGGAATTTGAATTTGAAAAAAAAAATTTGAAATTTTGGTCCTGCAGCCTCTATTCGCGGGATGTTTAGTCCACCGTATTCAAGTAGAATGCTTATAGAGTGCGATATTATGGCTTTAGTAACTGAATTTTCCTTAGCGGAGGCGAAAAATCACACATTTTTACAAATTGTACTCAAACAGAATTTATACAATCTGTGAAATTTCATTGTCAAGTGCTGGCTGTTAACAAAAGTGCAGGTCTATCTGTGGAATGCCTTAAACTTCAAAACTACCCGGAAAACATAGTCTAAATACACAGCAACTCACAAGTAATGGTTCGTAAATGTAGAACTATCGTCATTTAGGGGATAGGAGATTAGGGACTAATTTTTGAACTTGCTAAGTGAACAGCAGTCGAATTTTCAAGCTCTGAAGAAAGACTTCAAGAATTTACAGCTTGGAATTCTAGGTCTAAACAAATCTGGAGACCATCAAATAGGAGATAAAATCTGATTTTGAAATTCCAAATTTGTTCTTGATTGAAAAGATTGAAGTTCATGGACAGAGAATGAAAATCTAAAAAAGTCTAAAAATCTCAAGAATTTGAGGACCATCAAACAGGAGATAATTTTTTAAAATTTTTCAAAATCCTAATTCTTTAAGTTTATGGGCTCATGGGAAATAGAAGTCTAAAAATCTCAAGAATGGCTGACATACTGGGACATCATTCTTACCGTAGTAGCAAATAATTTTCATATTTTGATTGAGCTTTGCGAGAGCATATGCTGCTCTGAAAGAAATACATTTTTCTGTGCAAATGTCGTTTCTGGCTGTAAAATCTTAAGCGAATGTATTTACAGTTTACATTTTTGCCGTAAGCTATGTAATTATGAGTTCTGCAAAAGTCATTAATACCAATGATGCCCCATTTACACTACTTTTTTCTAAATAATATCTTTTTCCAATAAAACTGCATGAGCTGTGGGGTGGTAGGCGAATGTTGTAAAGAGATTCTTTGCAACAATTTCAACATTTGCAAAACATGAATTTTGCCTAAATATTTCGTACAAGTGGGTTGAAATCAATTTTATAATGATGATAGAAGTTATTTTAACGAATAGGCTATGTTCACAATATCAGGATTTCTTTGTGATTTAATGTAACCTAACTCAAATTGGAAACAATTTTGCCGACGGAAGCTTTTATAATTGGATGCAATTCATGCGAATAGTAATGCGAATCCCATCAACAATATTTTAATGCGTATTATCCGAAGCAGAAGGGCTACTGGGTCTACCTCTATCATGCTTTATCATGGGTAGTAGAAAATATATTTACAAGAAAAAAATATGTATAATAAGCTCAAATTTCATTTTTTTCTCTTTCTACTCTCTCATTTAGACTGCACTTAGAAATGCTTCAGCCTTCAAAAATAAGAAAAAAAAATTAAAGTAATCATATTCGTCTACGGTATATAGAAAAAGACAAATTATAACTTTATGGGACCATCGAGTTAGAATTGTATTCCTTTTCGAGCGTGGAGCTTTCTCAAGTCCAGTTAAACCTGTTCCTTGAAACAGAAAAAATTACTCAAAAAATGTTTTTTACTTAAGGTAGGAATCTGAATTTTGATTCTTATCAGTGCTGAGAAGCTGCAAGGGTGAAGAAGAGGAAAAGAAGCGTGAGAAAAAATAATGACGTGGTTGTGGCACTTAGAACGTACAAAACTTTGGTGGGCGTGAGTCACCTAAATTTTAAAAAAATTGAGGCGTGGTGAAGCATCAAATTTTAATTTGAAAATAATTTTAGCATTCGCAATTTTAGCAGTGGCGTAATCAATAATCCTGTACTCCACTGGAATGCTCGGGGGGAGGAGGGCGACAAAAAAAATTTTTTTCAATAAAAGTGCGTGGCGTCATCCACGCACTCCGAAAAACTTTTTGGTACGCTTTCTAGAATTTTCGCGGTTTCGTAATCCCGAAATTACGCCCCCGATATAAACAAGTCATCTGCACAATTTTATAATTCATATAGGTGACTTTCAAAAATTTCGCGACCCGTTCCCTTCCCCCTCTCGATACGCCACTGCAGCATGCCCTTTGATTCAACTGGATTGGCGGCTGGAAGGCTAGAGAATAATCAGAGAGCATGCGCGCGGGAGAGACGCAGACTGCATTGCGGGAGCGAGCGGCCTCAGTTGGGTCACAAGCCCCGCCTTCCAGCCGCCAATCCAGTTGAGTCAAAGGTTAGCTAAATTTTTTCGTGCAAATAGCCCAAAATAAGTTTTGATAGTTTTTTTTTTTCAGATTAGTAAAGACTTTATCGTAGAAGTATCGCTCTCCTTCTCCCCCTCCCCTCCCCTCAATCCCCTCCCTTTCCACTCCCTGCATCCTTCACAGCCTTTTGTTGTGACCATTGTTATTCACCAGCAAAAATGGAGCTCGTACTGCTCATCCATGTGAGCAACAGAAGGTGACGCTGGCTAATGTTGAGAGCGAGTTACGGGGGAGGGAAAGGGGGGGGGGGTAAGAAAGAGTAACCAGCCGTTAGCGCTTGTTTCCTCAGCTGTTTACATGTGGTGCAATGTGCTGCGAACGAATCGAACGACAATCGTGGCGTGCGCGAGTGCAACCAATTTTTCGCCCCCCCCCCCTCCCCCGTCGTTTACTAAAAGGCAGGGATATGCTCTGGCTGGAGGAAATCGCGTGCTTGAAGCCGACAACGAGACGAATGGCCAGCAAAAAAGTGTTGCGAGGCTTTGATGCCGCTGATAAAATTTGCTCGTGACTCGATTTACTAGAGTGTGGGGGAAAAGGGCGCGGAGCGAAGACGGGGGGGGGGGGGGGGGGGGGGAGCGAAAATTGAGAGCTGGCGAGCACATTATGGCGACACCTTTGATGCGAACAAAGGGCGCCCTTACGATGCAAAGGACATCCAATTATAGCTCACAGCTTTTGAGAGCACCGCTTCTGGCCCACGGCTGTAGTAAAGTCGAGCGTGCCTTTAGTAGTAAGGAAAAAAGGTGAGACAAAGCCATAAAAAATCTAAATCGACAGAAAATAGAGAAAAAATGGAGGTAGCTTGGAACTGGCTAGATTTTTTGACTTGTACCTAAATTTATCCCAAATCCTAGTTTACGATTTTTTCGTTTTTTTTTTTGAACTTACTCTAAAAGCACTTTTTCATGAAATTAATTTTATCATGGCAAATGTGCCGCGACTGGAATATTTGCCGCAATCTTTTCTTGAGACCCAGAGTAGTATTATAATATGTGTAACTAGTGAGCCAAAAACCTTAAGGGTGCTAAATTTGCATCCGCGCGCTTCAGGACCACATTGCGGTTCCCGCTATCTGATGTTTTTGGAGTTACGATTTTTTTTTATATTATATTATATAGATTGCACACTGGGAGCATAACATTTCGGATGCCGTAACTAAGCGTCTTCTAATCCAGTACTCTGCGTTGATACCACTGCTTAAATAACAAAAATCAAGGAAAAACATTAAATAAAGGATTAGCCTGAAAACGTCTCCATCGTCAGAGAGGTCCTCTATCTCACGCGCAAAGTGTACATTGCGTGTATCTACACATTTTTGTGGCGAAATTATTCGCTTGTTATGTTTTGGGCGAATGTTTCAGCAAATACTGACATTTTTGAAAGCCAAAAGAAAGTTTACTTTCAAGTGTGATAATCGTTCCAATTGCGAAAAAATGAAAATGTGATTTTTACATGAAACGCTGCAGTGCACCGATGGCTTGAGTTAGCAATTTTTTTATGAAAATTTCTGAATTTACCTCAACTTCGCGAAATCTGTTTGGCTTCCATGCTGCCTTAGGTTTTGAAAATTTTCAATTCATTGACTCGAAAAAGAGAACATATATTTTAACTATCACTTCAAGCGAATCACTTTTTTTGTAAAGATTGAAGAAACGCACAAAAAAACTGTTTTTGTTCAAGGGCATGAATAACCATAAAAGAACCAGTTTTTTGTAGCAGTCCTATCAAATCTCCAGACTTTTTTCTATCAGTTGCAGCCAATCGGCTTCAAAGCTCTCAAATATGCTTATTTTTTTTTCAAAGAAGAATCACCTCCACTCTCCTGCCAAAATCTCGCGAACATCAAGTGTCAATGTGTTTTCAGCAAGTTCTTATGCCCCCGTCTTCACCTCATAAAAGTGCCTCAGCAACCTTGAACAACGCGTTTTCGATGAGATGAGTGGTTCTGGGGAAATTAGCCTCCATACAATATGCGTCTGCCTATTTTCATCAATTTTGGGAGAAAAATGAGAAAAGCGCGTTTTGGATGATGAGAATGCTATAAAAATCTGTAAAATGCTATGATAAATGTCACGAAAATCCCTCGCAAACAATATTATGAAATTTTAATGCTAGAAAAGTCTGTTGGAATAACCCTTTAATTTGTCAGAATGGTATAAAAATTTGCTAAAACCTTTGAAATGTTATAATGGTAAAAGCTGCTGATAAAGTTTTGAGCTCTTAAAACATTTCTGAGTTTGTAAAAAAAGCTACAAATTGAGACGCTACGAAAAATTCTGAAATTACTTTGAAATTTTAGGACGCCGTGAAAAACGTGATAAAATTTGTCTCAGATGTTTAAGCGCTATACAAATCTACTAAGAGAGCCTTTTGAAATTTTTTAAAATCCTTGGAAATTGCATCGGAGAATTGTTAAATCTTTGATAATAAAAAGTTCAGTGAAAAAACGTACCAAAATGTTGGAGTGTTACAAAAATCTGAAATTTTTATAAATAGTTAGTGCTATATAATTGCGCTAAAATGTTATAAAATCCTAGATCTATAAAAAATGTGAATGTCTAAGACGTAAAACTGCAATCAAATCTGCAAAACAGCAAAACAGTTTTTTCCAGCAAAATTTGAACTAAGAAATGTCATTTTTTTTTCCTCTGCAAACATTCTTCAGATTCTTTTCTAAGCGCATTACGACAGCGCTAATCTCAAGAACATTAACCAGAGCAATAAATGTGCTCTGGAGCAGGTTAATTCGCTATCGTGGAATTACGTCGATTTTCTCATTATTTGCTCGCAAAATCCACTTGATTTGCTCATGAGTGAAGTGGTAATTGCGCCCGATCGTCGGTTCACACCCTCGACTTGAAGATATCCGAGAGCTTTTCGCGGGAGGGGGGATGAAAATTAAGAGGTTCGCCACGCATATATGCATGACTATCGTAATTGCTTGCCTGGGCGCATATTAATCCGGGCCATTAGCGGGCCCTCCAAGCTCCCCGGAGGCCTACACTTATAAGTATAGCTGCTAACTACTTGAAGTAGGGGCATAAGCCTCAATTCGGCGCTTCAGAAGTGCACAATTCCCCCCCCCCCCCCTCTGCTATCCACTTGGCCCCTTTTGATCGACGCGCAAAATTCGCACGTGTACGACGCGAATAAATTTCCGCCCAGCCGCCGCCGTGCCGCCATAGTGCTGCTGCTGCTGTCACTTGAGAACGGCTTGGAACTGCTGCTGCTTTGCTCCTACTATGAGGTACGTTCTTTACCCCTTTTTTACCCCCCTCCCCCCTCCCCCCCCCCCCCCGTCGGCTAGCGGGGGTTAATTGCCCATTACCTTGCCGAAAATACTATGCTAATATATGCCATTTGTGCGTTGGCAATAGTCTTGGGAAAAGCGGCCGGTTCCTAAGTGGGGAACCGAGCCCTAAATGGTGCTTCGCACGCACTTCCTAGGGGGTGCGAAAGTATTTTGAGAGAAGCGGAAGGATTAAAGGAGCCATTTTTAGCAGTTTTGCACAAGCAGATTGTCCTGTTTTGAATCTGTCTGGGAAGACAGCAATTTCAAATGATTAACCTTAGGGTAGGATAGGGCTCAACAAATTTTCATTGCTTTATTCTTTACACAACACATCCGGCAATAATGCCGTTGGTCAAGTTATAAATATTTGTATTATTCTTACCAACTTCGTTTTTTTCTAGTTTTTTTTTTGCAAAAATAAATTTGATAAATTTAGCGCTTGGATGAATGATAGATTTCATATGGTTTTTACTCATTCCTTTTAACTGCCAGCTTCATTGGTAATTTTTGAAATGATTCTCTAGCTTTTATTTCGAATAGATTGGACCTCAATTCTTGCACTGTAAAACATTTGAAAAACGTATTTCTTCGCTCTTTAGGAACTCGTTCGATTGTAGTCAAAGAAAAAACCACGCGCTCTTCATTATTTTTTATTTTTAATCTCCTCAAAAAATGTTCAAAGGTCCAAAGCAATCTAGTTCTAATCCTGATGATGATATAACATTGATTCGAACGAAATGGCTAATATGTTGAGCAACAAAAAGACTTTCTGAATGCTACAATTACTCCATTTTGAATGTAAACATATATTTTCAAATATTCTCAGAGACTTTCTTACTTTCTTGTGCAAAACTTATGAACCAACCAAGGGTATATGCGATTAAGACTCCAATGCAGGTTTCTATTTCTGAACGTGGAATTATCACATTCTATTTCCTTCCATTTCCTTGGAGATTTTTGAAAATCTATCTCGCACGATGAAATTTTATTCAGTTTCAACTTTTTTTTGTTCTGGAACCTTCCGCGATAGATATTTTCTATCTCATTTTTTTCGACGATTGTGCAAATTCAATCTAGGAAACTTTTGCTTATATCTATCTCTTGCAGAATAGGCACCCATAGAAAAGATATTTATGAGTTTATCGCAATCTTGCGAAGCAATAAATTTACCTCAAGCGCAATGTTGTTATTGCTTTTGCTTGTTTATTACATATTGATTGGCAAGTTGTGCAGAATTGTTAACTTTTTTTCTGCCTCAATTCGGGGAACTTGAGAAAATTGAGGTGCTTTTCACTGCCGACTCTTTGTGCAGAACAATAGCGTTTACACAACACAGCTGCAATAGCTTTTCAGAAAATCTTGTTTAGTTCTCCAAAACATCAAAAGCAACAGAGGTATTAGATATCAATTTTCGGAAATTATTAAAATTTTTGAAATTCCGATAATTGTTGCTTAGAAGTGGAACGGATTTGAAGAAATAGAGGAATTTTGCTTTAGTAGAGCTGGTTCTCTTGTTTAATCCACTATATATTTGGTTTTAGTTCTTTATTAACATTGATCAGTTTTTTCATATTTGCTTACACAAAGATTTTGAATTATCTTTATGAAAGTTTTTTCTCACAGGACCATTCCGTAGAATTGAGGAGATAGGGCGCTATCATATTATTTGTTTATTTTTGTAGATTTCAGCATTGTTTGATTGATTTCAGTTGTTTGTTTACGTTGTTTGGAAGCTTTGAAAATAACCAAGATTGTTAGATTTGTTTATAAAACCAAAACATTTTCGAAAATTTGGGACTAGTTTTCCGAATGGAGTGGGCGCTGTTTTATAATTGATTGATTATTTTCTTTATTTATTCAAACACTTTATTGATTTTCATTTACTCACCTGCAAATATGTTTATTTAAAAGTTGTATTTATTGAGAGTCATACTTGTTTTGATTCAGAACAAAAATGCTCTAAATAATCTTTGATAATAAATATAGAATCTTCAATAAAAATAAATAATCTTATAATACAAACAAACAATTTCAAATTTGCGCTAAATAATCTCTACCTATTTACAAATTCTAGAAATATCACTGAAAGCTGTAAAATTTTGAAAAATTGTGCCGGCACCATCATTCAAACAAGATGTTTATTTTCAGTAATTCATTCATTAATCTATTTATCCAGGATTTTGTACTTTGAAAAACTATCTCCTTGAGAAGCCGTATATGGATTAGATACCCTTGCGCATATAATAAAGCTTTTCTCAAGCATCAATTTAATCTTTTTTATTTTGAAAAAAGCGTTATATTTTTGAATGGTGCGACTTTCAATAAATCTCAGCATGATGACAATACTTTGTTCTTTCTTTCTGAGCCATACACGAGATTGGTGACTTATTTATTCACTCTCGGCTAACGTTTCGGCAAATCGCCTTCGTCAGAGCCTGTAAGGGACAAAACGATTTGCAGCCGATTCGAACAAGTATCTTTACAGCCGAACAGACGAAGCGCTAAACCTTGCTTTCGATCACTAATTCAGCTGCACGCACAAGCACGTACCCTCTGGATTACGACGATACTTCCCTATTAAAGAAAGTCGGAGGTTGACGTCGTCCACTGCTGGAGAAAGTTGGACTTGTTAGACGTGTATGCAGACTGCTCTTTACATACTGTTAGATCAAAATAGCTGATCTAGATAAGGCGAGAGTTCATGCGTAATTGCTAGGTTTTCCTCTTTTCGATTCATTTTTGGGTTCTTTGCGCGAATCCAAAATGCTTCCAGACACTTACGTGCCTGTGTTTGAGATTCATGTGCTAAGATTCTCACCGAAATTCCAAAGTTTGAGCCTGCATGTTGCAGCACTCTGTGGGTGCCTAGGGGTGTCATTGTACGTGCTTTATCTCTGCCGTCTAAATGTTCTTTAATGCGGATACATAGTGGTCGTGCCGTTTCACCTATGTATTCGTCGCCGTAAATCGTGCATGAGATTAAGTAGATGACTCCAGTCGTCATGCAATCCCCTTCTCTGCCTGTAGCGCAGATTATACAAGTGAGGGTGAGGCAATTGCGATCATTTCATTTTCATTTCATTTCATTCATACGCTCGAGGCGTTCCAAATCAAAAACAATAAAGTGTTAGTCATACATGGAACACAACAGCAACAGATACCAAATCACCACGTCGTCCTAAGCCCAGTCTAAACGACTTACTAAGAAAAGTAATGTAGTAGTAATGTGATGATAAGCTTGCATGACTTGCATCTCGGCTGCACGTTATCTTGTGCTAGCATAGACTCTATGGAGAAGTACCCATGCCCCTCGTTTGCCAGCAAGGAACGATCTCTATATAATTCATCATACATGCGATTGCGAACTAAAATGGTCTTTAAGTTATTTGGTGGTAGTTCTACAATCGTAACCAGATTTTCGAGTATTATTTATAGTTGTAGTAGTTATATTTTTGTTTTTTCAGGATTAACGCCGAACTCTTCGAGCTTTCACCCGATGGGACAAAATGGCTGATGGTTGACAGTCGCATTATGTACATTTCTGTCTATCGTAACGAGCTGGATCGAGTTCGAATCACCGCCGTCTCGCAAACAGGCCGAACAATGCTCGACACAACACTTGGCAAAGGTTTGTGGTCCCTTTTCGCTTCACTAAGCTCTTTATCTCTTTTCTTGGCTTTTAATCACAGCATATCCTCGTCGACGCCACCTCATTACCCGTTTTCTTCAAAACAATCGAAATGCCAATTTGGTCATTTGTAATGAGGTCGCGGTTGGGCAAGCATAGCAGGAGGAAGTGGTGAGTGTGGGGGGGGGGGGGGAGCAAGGCCGGGGATGATACCTAAAATGGTCAGAATGTGATTTTTGAAGCAAATTATTGCTCGAGTGGCAGCTTATATGAATCCATCCGTAGCCGAGAAATCTCACTCCATACACCAAGAAACACCTAAAGTGGTCATTTGAAGGTAATATTTAGAGCTAAATCATCGCCTGATTCCTCGTCTAGAATGGACCAGCTATGATCCATTCTAGACGAGAAATTCAACCTCAGACTTTCGCCCAAACCGCAATCCGTAATTGCAATTAGCAGCGTTTTGATGGCACATAGATAGTCTTCTAATGGCAGTTTTTGAAATTGAGCTATAGCACGTATGGTACTCTTATGATTCAGTTCTTGCCGGGAAACCCAACGAAGGATTCTCGTCCAGACCGTACTCTTTACGAGGCAGGAAGCAGCTTTATGGTTTGGAACTATATTGCCCGATGATAACTCATAGGATTCAGTCGCAGCCGAGAAATCCTAATTTAAAATCTTACCCAAACAGTATTTTGTGCAGACCATTTAGGATTCTCGAATACGGTAGGGGGCACGGTGTGGGCGTAAGTTTGAAGGTGATTATCTTGGCCAGGAGTGGTATATATGAGCTACCGCTTGGGCAACTACTTATCTAGAAGTTCAGATCATTTCCACACTAAAAGCCCTTAAATTTGACTTTCATTCCTTATCCTTTGAAAATTTCCGAAGCTGTTTAGCCCTAGCCCAATAAATAACGTTTTTTTCTTCCATAAACCATTTCCAGGAAAATATGAAGCTATAAGCTATAGGCCATTCAAACAACCTATGAGTACTTTTCAAAGCAGCAGAGCTTTCATCGGCGAGCAGCACGACTTCAGTAATGATTGACGCGAGTTTTTGTCGTGCTGACAAGTTGGGGCAATCGCTGCCCTCAACAACAGCAAAAAAGTTGATGGGGGGCCTCGAACTTTACCGAGACACGGGTTAGGGAGGAGTGCGTAGTTTTCGGGATTGGAAAGTCCTTTAAGCGGTGTTCTACATATATTTTATAGTCTGTTTATCTTTAGAGTTGATTACAAATAAACATAACCATTAGTTATTGAATTCCCTACATCCAGAATCACTGAAAATATAAGTGTATTTTCATTATTTTTTGACCCCAATGCTAGTGTATTTGCAATATTTCTTGTCCCAGTGAAAACTCACCTTTTCACGTTTGGAGCTATAATCATTTTACTAAACGACTCTTTTTGAGCAATTCATCTCCGATATTTTCGTAGCAATGCAATCAAGGTAGAAAAGTTACAGTATGCGATTGCTACAGTACCGATAGGTTGCAGATTACTGTAGTTCACTTACCAAACTAGCTACTCTTTATTATTATGTTTTTTTGCGCTTCAAAGATTTTTGATACGGCCATCTTTTGAAAAAATGAATTAATGATGATCTTAAGCTTGGACTGCTAATGTCTAATATTTTTTTACTCAACATTGTTCATCTGTATGAAGCAGTGCAACAAAAATATCCTTTAAATAACAGAAGAATTGTTTTTATTTGAGAATCAAAAACTAGGTTTTCATTTTTCTTGCAACTGTCAAAATACCGGGAAAATCTTTTCGAAATGAGTTCAAAGGAGTGATAAATCAACAAGCGAAAATGTGTTGAATTTTGCTTTTGTATCACTAAAAGCTTGTCAGAATATACCGAAATCTGACACCGGTAATGGCCCTAAAGTCAACAAAATCATCAACAACAATAACAAAGTGATGATCTCTCAGCAATTGAGCCGAAGCGTCACTATTATTCATTACGATGAGGTTCAAATTTCACTATATGAAGTCGCCGAATATTTCCGTGACTAATGGCTGGCTTCGCAAACAATTAGATATCGTGACGAAGCCTTTGTTCCTCTTGATGATCATAAATTTGCACCGGAAATTTTGAAACCATCACAAAAATGCTGTTTCAGTTTCGACATTCTGGACAATAAGAACTGTTGACGTATATTTAGGAAAGGGCTTGAAAGCAAGCAATAGGAATGTATTCTTCTTCAATCCGCAGTTTTTTCTAGACGTAAAATGACTTAGTCTAAGCTTTATGCGCTAATTTTCACTACATAAAATCAATTTTCCAAGGTAATCATTCTTGAAATACGATAGCTTCAACCATGCAGGCTTGCACGGAATCAAAACGACATGCGAAGACATAAAAATCGTCGCAATGCGTGTCGAAAACCATTTCCTTCTTTCGTAAAGTGATTGACGTAGGCTATTCCATGCATTTGAATGGTTTTTAAGATAATAAGGCTTTTGCTGTGCGTTGTAAAGGCGCTGTACAAGCGAATATTCGACAGCATGGACGTTTCGGAGCACAGCTTTAGAATCAGAGGTTTTAAACAAAATGTATGAGCTATTCACAAAAGCTATGTTTTTGTATTCTATTAATGATCACTGACAAGAATCTAAAGAACAATTGCAATTTTACAACAATTAAATTAACGGCATTCTGGCAAGCAATTTTTTTTGAGAATCTCAAGCAGGCTAAGTAAGTTGTAAAACCATAATTAAGTTTTATCAAGTGCTGTAGGAAAATTAAAAATTTCTTTATCTTGGCATATTAACAATAAATGGGCTTTTTCTCACATCACTAGTTTATCATATGCAAATCACCAAAAGATCATAATCCGTATTAGCTGACCCATAAATCTTAGACTAGATGCTAAAAATTTACTTAAAAATATTCAAAAGAAATTTTCAAGTCATGTTATATTTTTGAAAATTACGATAACTATTCTGTTCCACAATAGGACTACATATTAGGTTGATGCAGAAGTTTTTTCGCACAAAATTCAAAAATTCATAACTTATTAATTCGCAATGAATCTGCAAGATCTGAATTTTGTATAAGAGAGGAACTCATGCTCTATGCACAGGTGCCCAAATTTTTGGTTAACATACACGAATGAAGGAGATAGAAGCGCAAAACCAAAATCACTCAAAATCTGAATTTTTCGTGTAGAGGTCATAAATAATCGAAAACTTACAACAAAAACCGGAGGAGTCGGGAAATGTAGGTTATTTCACCAGCTCTTTCTAACGGTGCAAAGTTTGCGCAGATTGAGCGTCTCTCTGAAAAGTTATGATTTTCGAGCAAGCAATACAAAAGGGCGAATTTGATTTATTTTGGCATTTTTCATGGAAACCATAACTTTTGATAGAGACGCTCAATCGACGCAAACTTTGCACTGTTAGAAAGAGCTGGTGAAAGAACCTACAATACCGACTGCTACGATTTTTGTTGCAAGTTTCCGATTTTTTAAGACCCTACCGAAAAATTCGAATTTTGACCAAGTTTTTCGGACTTTTTAGTTTTCTTTTTGAAGATCAAAAATAAAAAGTATGGTTCGAGTGCTTCTCAGCTTGTATCACCTGATTTGTAACAGTGGATTCTTGGTCCGAACAATACTAGAAAGCGCATGATTTTCTTTTTTTTTATCTATATAGAATCAAACAAAGTTGAAAGGACAAATAGTTAATTTTCCAAAAAATTTGATGCAAAAACTATGGATTAATATAATAAATTGGACTTTGTTTTCGCACCACAGTCGTTTAGCATACGCGAACCACTAAAAATCAAATCTATAATATGTGTACAACCACTTAGGTACTTGCCTTCTTGAAATTGGCACAATCTTCCACTCATCCATATATCCGCCGATTTTTCGCTAATCTTCAAACAAAATGATTTATCAGCTTTGGAGCAACTCCGTCTCAAAATCATGCTCCTTAGGGCTACTAGCGCTTTGAAGCGAATCTCCATGGTCTGCTGGATCTGAGACTGGCGAAAGCTGCGCGAAAACGATGAAGGCCCGATGGAGTGTGAAAAATTGCGCGTAATGCATTGCTCCGTCTGCACCTCTCGATTTCCGCGCATTTATCATCTTTCGCCTCTGTCTGCTAATTATTCCTAGCAGCAATGGCTGGCAACGATCTCTGCGCAAATAAATAGATGTCGGATGTTGAAGATGAGAAGCCGGCGCGAGGCATTGGAGGAGATCCTACGAATGGGGCTTAAGATCTAGGATCGTGGAAATATTCAGATTTTTACAATCTTCCCATTAAATTTTCCCGTAGTTTCATTGCCGGGGGGGGGTTGAATGGGAAGAGTGTACAAATTTTAGAGGCGGATTTAGAGGAAAAATCACCATCTACCCTTTAGAAAGTAGGTAAGAATATTGCTTTAATATTAAAATAGAAGAGAACGAATACCGTACACCCCAGCTAATCAATATATTGATTAGGGGCAGCTTCTGGGGTTACGGCAGCATACCAGAGAAAGTGACACAGAAATCGATATATTGATCAGAACCTGCTGATTCTTCTGATATTGTGGTTTAACAAAGCCACCCTAAAATCAATAAATCGAATAGGGTGATCTTGGGTTACGGTAACATGGTAGCAACGAAGCTAACCAATCAACATATTGATCATAATCTGCTGATCGTTACAGTATCAAGACACCTAGGAAATTAACTTAGAAAATCGATATGTCGATGAGGAGCTGTCGATTTTGCACTGGATCTCCAACAAAGTTATAAAATCAATATATAGATTAGAAGCTGATCTTAAGCCACGATATTGTGGTAGCACACGACGCAAATCATGCGATCAATATATTGACAGGAAAGTTTATTTCGTGCAACTGTACCATATACCGACCGAACAAAACAACTCAAAAAAATCGATATTTTGATCAAGTGATTTTTTGGATTACTATAGTGCTCAGTAAAGCAACCAGAAAATTGCTTTGGGCAGAAGGCGCTGATCTCTGCTACCGTGACTAATAATATTGATTACGAATTCTAATTTGGATCACAGTAGCTTAGCGAAACTAGCTTGCGCCAGCCACATTTACGGATTTTTTGGTCCCTTGAATTCGTATAATTTTCAGATCAAAAAGTCGAGAAGATCAGCGACTGCTTCGTGTTCTGGCGGAATCATGATGGCCGAACATTAGGTGTAAACACATTGACACCCAGAGATGCTATGCTTTTCGTCACGCACACTTCACCATCCTCTTCTTCGACAACGACCATGGTTCAACACAACATCATGGCACAGGTAAGGCTCTTGCTTTCAAGAAGTTGGAGAGAACTCTTGTAAAATGCAGATTTTCCAGAGGGAACAATTGAAAACTCTCTCTTTCTCCTGTACCTTGGAGACCTTTGGGCAACACATTTTAGGGTTGATTCCAACTAAGGTTTATAAAGCAAAACGAATCGCTCATCTTTCTTCATTACTGTAGGATTACTGTGGGAATTCTGTACAGTCCTCTTTGCAAAAGCTGCAATTTCAGAAATTTTCTAAAACGTTTGGAAACTTCTGTGGGATTCTAAGACGTGCCCGCTGCTTTTACAAAAAAAAACTTTGTACTAGTTGTGCAACAGTTAGTTGATATAATCGGACCTGCATTAATGGAAATCCGCCATAAGGCAAACCTGTAGTAAGTTTTGAAGTAAAGATTGCGATGAAGCGATTATTCACGGAAAAAAGCAATATTATAATGGTAACAAAGTCTCGAAGTTCTTCGAATTCATTCTGGGACAAATTTCAGTACTCTTCTTCTCAAAACTCCTTTTAAATGTTCTCACCGTAAACATACAATGACGCGGAGCGATGAGCTTTTTTTTGTAAGTGAATCTGAGATGATGCCAGTCTGATTTGTAACTTAAAAGTACTCGAGAGCTGATGATAATTGAAGCTATAAGCAATCAGATCTTCGTTACATTTTTCAAGAACCGCATTGAGAATTTTTCTACTGCGCTTCTGTAAACCATTTTTTGAACGCTGATTGAAAGAAATTGAAGAAAGAAAGTAAGAAAAAACTCTCTAAAAATTCTTCAATAAATTAAAAATTCTCCATTTCTATTTACAATGTGTTGGAAGCAGCCGTTCAAAGAGATTTCGCTCTTTTATCTGGCGCATATCAAATTTCGATAAAGTTTATAATGAGTTTAATTTGATTATTATTTGATACCAATTGATCTAAGTTTATTAAGAGGCACTGTCATGTCAAAAAGAATAGGCTTGAAGAAAACATTGTGAAAATTGGAGTTTTTGACTCTTTTTTTATGTGTTTTTTGCGAGGCTTTTAGAGAAGCTTTGCAGAATGGCTATCATTATATGCTTTCAATATTTCACGATATGTTTTTTGATTTTTCATTTCTATTTCATCTTGAAAATCATAGAAATCATCTGCTTTCTGACATGTTAGGAAGACTACGTCCATACTTTACTATTCAATAAAAACTCAGGAAACATCTGCACAATTCTGCAAAAAGTCTTGATGACGCCCAGACTTCTGAACTTTGTAGTGAGGAGCCGGATGCACTTAATCTAATGGAAAATTAAATTTGCACCATCGCGAGTCAAGTACGCATCATTATTTTTCCGTTCCGTTCGTGCTCGTGCCACCATATAGGGAGCAGCCGGAACATTAGAGCTATACGTCAAAAACTTGATAGCTTAGCTATGATTATAGCCATGACATCAAAGTACAAAAAAATGGGGAAAGATTTTGTAGCGCTGCTAAGGGTTTTTGGTATATTCAGGTTGCCTCCTCTCCTGAATAACTGTCGGAAAAGGAGTGTGTCTAAAAACTGTAGTTGAGACTAGCTGTTTTAGGATATGAATTAATTGACAAATCTGTTCTACATACCTCAATTCAAAGACGGACGTTTAGGTGTCAATACTTGCATCATGGGATGGTACGGGAATTCGACTGAAAACCAAGCAGCAAGAGACTACAATGGTAAGCAATTTTTGTAAGTCTGTACAATTAAGCTTATAAGTAAATACCAAGCAATTCTCGCTGCTGGCTGCGCATACCAGTAGTGATTGAGAACTTAAACCAAGCCGTTATTCAAGTAGCAATACATATAAATCATTCGTGGCCAAGAAATCTTTCTTCCACTTCTCGTCCACTACCGTAGTTCGGCACACAGTCTGCTCGGAAAGATCACGGTATTGGACGTAATTTTTTCATCAAGCATGAATAATGTGAACAATGATTATGAGGTATCGGTGACTCACTCTACCACAAGTCCTAACACAGTATGGAAGAGCAAATAAACTAAACCACCAAACTCAAGTTTGACGCTTTTCGCTTGCATACAAATAACTGTGAATCATAACAATATTTTTCGGAGGTTTGCATTATGCCCGAAATGTAGAAAATGCCCCCTTTTTATTGCCTTATTTGCCCTAAGTATGTAATTTGAACTTTACTTTCGGACGCCTTTTGGAAAAAAAATTTGCCTTGTACATGATCGTAAAGGCGACAGAACATAGGTGCAATGTAATTCTTTTATTTGTTTTAAGTTATTCGAAATAACGCATGATAAGAAGAAAGTAATGTATTGACATGAGCCAATCACTCAAGCTTCCAGATTATTCTAATCATCCTTTTCTTATTTAAAGTTGTTAGCTTCGGGAGCTGAGATCTGAACATATGGAATTTTACTATGAGTCATGAGTGCGAACTAAGAAAATCCGAGAAATTGACAGAAACCGAGATTTGACTGCTGAAGCTTCGAACTATAGTTTGAGATTAGTGATTCTGATGTTTCGTGTGCATTTTCTTGACTCTGCAACATGTATAGTGGCGTTTTCGTTCCCACTGCTCTTTTTCCAAACCTTTTTTCAGGTATCCGTTAACCCCTTGAGCATGGTCTTTCATCTTAACCACGGGCTTATCAACGTCGATCTGGTAATCTTATATATAAAGCTGAATGTCTGTTTGTCTGTCTGTCTGTCTGTCTGTATGTCTGTCTGTCTGTATGTCTGTACGTATGTTCCGAATAGAAAATTCCATTTCTGAACCGATCCGGACCAAACTTGGCACACATACACTACGGGCCCCGGCGGGTGTCATAGGCTACTTTTCGTCATCGATCGATATCGATTTTATCGATTTTTATCGATTTTTTTGCTGAGTTCACCTACGGGGCTGGGAGTTGGCACAGGGGGGTAATCGAGCATGGGGATTCCGAATACAATATTGGTTTTCAGGATTATCGATTACTTTTATCGATTTTATCGATTTTTTTGCAAAGTTTGAGCTACGGGGCTGGGAGTTGGCACAGGGGGGTAATCGAGCATGGGGATTCCGAATACAATATTGGTTTTCAGGATTATCGATTACTTTTATCGATTTTATCGATTTTTTTGCAAAGTTTGAGCTACGGGGCTGGGAGTTGGCACAGGGGGGTAATCGAGCATGGGGATTCCGAATACAATATTGGTTTTCAGGATTATCGATTATTTTTATCGATTTTATCGATTTTTTTGCAAAGTTTGAGCTAGGGGGCTGGGAGTTGGCACAGGGGGGTAATCGAGCATGCTGATCATCCCCAAGGGGGGTGATCAGCATGCTCGAACACCCCTGTGCCAAATTCCAGCCCCCTAGCTCAAATTTTCAAAAAATCGATAAAATCGATAAAAGTAATGGACGATCTTGAAAACTAATATTGTATTCGTAATCTGCATGCTCGATTACCCTCTGTGCAAACTCCCAGCCCCGCAGGTCAAACTTTGCAAAAAAATCGATAAAATCGATAAAAGTAATGGACGATCCTGAAAACTAATATTGTGTTCGTGATCAGCATGCTCGATTACCCCCCTGTGCAAAATCCCAGCCTCGCATGTCAAAATTTACAAAAAATCGATAAAATCAATAAAAGCAATCGATAATTCTGAAAACTAATATTGTATTCGGAATACCCATGCTCACTTCCCCCCTGTGCCAACTCCTAGCCCTGTAGGTGAACTCTGCCAAAAAATCGATAAAAATCGGTAAAATCGACATCGATCGATAACGAAAAGTGGACTGTGACACCCGCCGGGGCCCGAAGTGTATGTGTGCCAAGTTTGGTCCGGATACGGCGGAGCCGGGTAAGCCAGCTAGTTCACAATAAAAATCCGAGCATTATATTCCTAAATCAAATTTTCACAGCTCGAATGCTTCGTAGCCCTGACCGACAAACCGAACACCTTGCACATCTCCTATGCCAGCCACATCTACGAGTTCGAATTCTCAGGAGAAGCGAGTCGCTTCGCCTCTCAGGTATGGTTGCCCAGCAATTCTCCTCAGCTAAAGTCAAATCGATGCATGAAAAATCTGGCTATGCGGTAATTCTTCATGCAAACGATGTCGAGAATGGCGCTTTGATTAATTTTTCATCAAGCCTCTGTCAGTCGTCTGTTCGATGCGTGCTCTGTATTTGGGGATTGAGCAAAAATTGTAGAAGAGGAACCGTCAGAATTTGGGAACGATATTTGGTTTATACAAGCATGAAATGAAACTGACGATCGCAAACTTAGAAACTTGTGAGCGCTAAGAATGAGGTAAATTGAAAATTCCGAAAAAATCAACAGTCAAACATGGCGTCGCGGAATGAGTATTGGAACCTTCATAAACCAATTATTCTTTCTCCATTTTTTGTTCTTCCACAAAATCTCTTATTTCTTTTTGAAAAGAGTTTTTCATTCGTAAAAGCGTCGGCCAATTGAAAGACAACCAGTGTCGTATATTACAAAAACCAAAATTTGGAAGCAGTTCATAACTTACGAGCTTTCGCAAAAGCGGTGTCGTACCTCAAATCAGTCACTATTTATAATGGGCTGCACTGGAACTCATTATACATAAGTCGAAAGGTCTCCTTCTATTTTTCGTGCTTTCCGCTCCAAGAAATTTGGATAGTTACAGCAAGTACATCGCAACAGGCTGCGTTCGAAGTCGCCCGTGCCAGCACTGTGCCAGTGCAACTTGCGGAACGTGAATGGATCAATACGCGATGCATGCTCGTGTTTTTTTTATTCACAGTGCATATATCTACATGTGAATTTTTTCGTGGACCTCGGATGGCGCTAGCACAACGCTGGCACGGTGCTGGCGCAGTTCTGGCATGCCTTCATCTCTGGACGCAGCACAAAACAATCTAAGCTTCTACAGCTAAGCGGCACGGTTGCCAACCCATAGGCGGATCCATAGGCGTGTTTTGGGTGTAGCTTTTTAAAAAATTAGGCCGTATCTTCCACAAGAGCATCAGAGATTGCCAATCTCCAATCGCAGAAATATTTGCAAAGCAGTTGCGAGAGCCCAAAGTTTTTCAAACATTCCGGTATTGCTCGTGCATCCAAGAAAAACATACTGCTTTCAAGGACAAACTTTCAAACTGGTTTATTAACGTTGTAGGTCAGCAAAATCCGCGAGAACTTCCAGAATGGGAAGAGAGTTCATGCACAGTTTAGAGAAAAATCCTAAGACTCCATGATTTTTATTTGCTGAGGTAGATAGGGGTACGGTAGGTATGCAAGTAAGAAGTAACCAAAAATGTCAGACCATATTAAAGCAGATGCTTTACTTCTCTTTTATGCTACTGCATATGATTCCCGGTTACGATACAATTGAATCAAGGTGATTTAACAAGTCAGGCTTATAGTGCATATGCGAAAAGCTTCTTTTTGTGATTGTTTTCTCCAAATAGAATCATACTCAGCAATAGCACACCAGCTGGGACTTCCGTCTTTTTTTTGAGTTGAGCAGAGGCGGATTGTACAAGCGCTGCCATCTCATCTGCGTGACTGAATGTGAAAAGGAAAGCCAACAAAAGCATTCGTTGTAAATATGCCTTGCTTGCTCATTTTTTATTGAGCCTTCTTAGCTTTCCTGAATATGCACTGGAATACATTGTTAGTCTAGTCCTATTCGCTGAAGCGAATAGAACACAGGGAATCGGCTTTGTTTTGCATATCACAAAAAACCTCAACTTACTTAAAAGTCACATGTTTGCTAGTTTTTCGGAATCGCTTTTCTCTTCCTGGTTTGGTTACAAAGCCTCGAAAACCTAGGGATTGAAAAATCCGTTAATCCGTCAAAAATCTTTTCCATTAGCTGATTGTCGAGAATAAACAAACGAAGGCATACAGTACTCTTTAAATGTATGTATGTAAGCTAGAAAGATATTCAAACATTCTTTTATTATCAAATCAATCAACATGCCCTTCTTGAAAAAATTTACTTACCAGAGCAACGAAACTATTTTTTCGAATTTACTGATTGTGGCTAATTCATGTAAAAAATTGACGAACTTTCCCGACTGACAAGCGAAGCCTCCCTTAAATAAAGTGTCCCTTACATACGTCAGCTGAAATTGTTATCTGCAGTTTTATATGAGGTAACGGTATGAAGAACAGTGGCATGGTTTAATGTGGAGAGTCAAAAAAACCCTCCAAGAAGAACCGGGAAGAGCACCTCATGATGTTTACGGGCTCTTAGATTACAAGAACATGAGATGCACTCACTTTTACCACTGATCCTCTGGTAATAGAGCATTGGCTTGCCCTTTTATTGCGGAGCTGTGAAAACGTTAAAATTTTATGACCATCAATGTTCAATTCACTCATAGTGCATTCATTTTATGACTTATGTAATAATATGTAAAAGTTGAAACACAAAGGAACTCTCCTGGAACATAAGCAGTAAGCAAAGACTGTAAGATTTGAAACACATCGCACTACTATTTAGTATGCGATGTGTTTCAAAGCTAAAACAAAAAACAGTGTTTGTTTTTTTCACTAGAATAGGCACTTTGATAGTCATACTATACTAATCCAAAACATGACAGTGGGTTTTTTAAGAGTGAGAAACCATGGAGTGGGAGGGATGCTAAAAAGAGACAAGATGTTTTCAATGTAATACAGTGCACTTAACTGTTTTCAATGCACTTAAAGTATGTATTCACTATTTATCGTTGATATCTTTCTTCCCAACAAGTCTTTTGCCTTGCTTTAAGTACCATTTTGTAGAGCTGGCTTCAACTTAGATTTACAGTATGGAGCGAATCACTGATCGCTCTTCATCTGCAGGATTACGATAGACATTTCAAAGAGGGTTTTGAGCCATGAAAGGCCATACTTTGCCTCAGAAAGGAAACAAAACAGCCTGAAAACTTTTACACTAGGCTAATCAGAGTTGTTGAATCTAACTGTAAAGTTCCCAACTTATTATGATGCTTCACTGAAGAGTTATGCCGGGTAAGAGGTAGCGGCCATTTTTTCAATGTTGCTAAAAAGTGCAGTTACACCGTTTAGAAAGCTTCGCAATCTTGTGAATAGTTGAGTATTGAATTCAGCGTCCATGAAAACACTATTACACAAGTTTTCACATTTTTTAAAAAAATTTTGAGACGGCAGCTTTTTCCACATTGACACCATATGTTTCAAGTTTCTACCGTAATCCTACAATAATGAAGAGAGATGGGTGATTCGCTCCATACTGTAATCTAAGCTGAAACCAGCTCTACAGAATGGTACCTGAAGCAAGACAAAAGACTTGTTGGGAAGAAAGGTATTAACAATCAAACAGTGTATACATACTTTACGGACACCCTGTATATCTGTCAAAAATTGAAGAACTAGCTGTTGCCATTAGGGCTGTTTGAAAATAAGTGGTCTGAGCTCATTCTAAATTCCCTCGAAACAGATCAGATGCGACTATTATTCGATTATTATGGCAAAACATGAATTGCAGACTTTGAGAGTCTTCCGAGAGCTCGTTGGCTGATTGAAAATCGACATTGATTTTCCACTTCTGCTCGTACGCTAACCTCGTGAACGTGCGGTTAACTAAAGAAAACCAAATAGCACACGAGTTTTATTACTGTTTTTTTTTTCAGCTGCTCTCAGCAACTCAAAAACTTTTCAAAGGTACTGATTTGGCAATGAGTGAATAATAGGTGACTGCATTTTAGTCCTTGGGGTTTCTAGTTTTCAGGTGTTTCAAGCTTCATTACTGCTAAACTCCAAACATGTAGTATTTTTCGCCTTTATTCGCTATCGAAAATAGGTTTTTGAGGTGAGAATGTATTCAGGACTAATTTTGTGCCTAATAACCAAGTTTTTTGGGAAAAACATTTTCAGAATATGATTACTCAGAACCCTGAAAAGGGACGTATGCCGTTAGGATTGCTCTGTCTTTGTGTGACTACAATACTTCACTACTCTTGCTACAATTAGTAACATTACTAAAATTGAATCTGAACACTTTTTTGGGATGTCTTTTAAAGTTGCTGCTAACGTGATTGTCGGAAAGATTACCAGGACCCGCTTCGAGTACGACTAAAATAATTTATAGAACTTCAGTCTTGTGAATTTGTCCTGTCAAAATGCGACATTAATTTTGGAATGACCTGAAATTCTACATCTATCCTACAAAGTTAATAGAGATGTACAGACAGTTCTTTCATATTCTCGGCGAAGACTTACGTCAACCTATTATAACTAGACTCTTCTTTCCAGTTAGTCACTTCGTCCTAAATTAGGTACTGCTGTCACGAAAATTTCCAGGTGCTGAACATGTCCTCTCTTCTGCTAGCTCGTACCACATGCACCGATGTCGCCATCACCTTCCTGAATCGACAACATCAAAAGCAGCTCGATAAGCTCGTGCAGGTCCGTAAGGTCATTTTCATGCATATAATTGCCGTTTGCTCCAACACGTGGGCGATTCCGCAGCTCGCATGGCCGAGCAGCGCCGATCTGTCAGCATCGGCAGTTATCGAAGTGAAAATCTAACTCGAGCTGAACTCAGCCGGAAGATTCGGAGTGAGTCGAGCATTTACGAGTTGATATTTAGCTGAATGCAAATGGCAACGGTGGTGATCCGATGGCAAGGGAGAAAGTGCTGCTCAAGGACTTTGCTGTGATGAGTCGTCTATGTGCACTGACCAATAAACCACTACCTACGATACAGGTTTGAATAACTTGCATCCTTGTATTCCGCAAAAAGCAGCGTCGTTGGCCGAATTATTAGGTTGGCGCATAAATAATGTATCGCGTCCCTTTAATATGATTTTTTATCTTAGCAACAAATGCGATGTCAACCTACTGTTCAAAGATTTGTCAAAATCTGGGCTTCTACAGCTTTTTAATTATTGATGAATGCCCTTCCAAATTTAAAGCATTCCGCTTGCTCAGATTCTCCAGGGCGTCAGATGCTAATTTGTCTCGAATTTCATTTACTTTTTGCCAAAATCAATAAGTCAACTAACAAAACGCGCCTACGATTTCGTTCTGATGCATTTGATTTAGGTCTAGCGACTTTATTTTTGCTTACTTGAGACTTCGATTTTCAACCCCTCTTTGGGGATTTTCTAGCGTTTATATCACATCATCGAAAAACGGAGTTTTTGGGCAATCATAATAGCTTCATCATAATCACAATCTTTACTTATAATGCGGAAATTGAGAGACTTTGATTTAAAAGAGAAAAAAAATATTTGAGAAGCTGCAAAACTCATGTGCAAGCCTAGTAAGTTAGCTTAAGTACACTCTCGTAGATCAAATCGCTATGTCCGCACATTCCGCATTCGGCAAACTCGGCTAGCGGAATCGAGAGTAGTCCTATTCCATTGTCATAAGTGTATCCCCTGCAGCACTAACAACACTTGAGCGTCAAAAATGGCCATGGAGCGCAAAACTGGAACTGAACCATGAGAACGACAGTTCTTTCCGAGCCATTGTTGTCAACACTGTAGCTATGTTTCGATTTTCACACTAACCAGATATCATTTTGTTAACTTTTGATAGTGAAAACAACGGAATTTGTTTTATTAGTGATTTTTATTTTCCCTCGTGATTAAGTATGAGTTCGCTTAGGGCTTGCATTTTTTAAGCATCTTCTAGTCAAAATCAATTGTGCTCAAAAAATTATGATTAGTTTTCTGCTTGAAACTTGCAAAGAAAGGAAGTACGAAAATTCAAAGTCTGTAATTTTTCTTCGAACTTGATCTGCGAAAATTTATCGAGGTAATTTGTTCCGTAAACGACGACCCCGCTGTGGCTGAAATAGTTATGAAAATGGAGTCGTGTGAATGGAAATTTTCTTGATTTTAACTTTTTGCTGCATTTTGAGAAAGTTTCTTAGAAATTACTTGAGACTTTCCCATATTTTCTAGAAACCGCTAATTGAAGTTTTTGAACAAAGTCAACTATGTGTGAAGTGTTGAGCAAAAAATACCCTCCAGAATTGTTTACTGTGGACAGCTGAGATTTTTATGACAATTCTGTAGAACATTAAGATTGTGACAACAAGATCGTAAAAAATAGAGTACCATACTCTGCGCTTAGTATTACCTAATATTACCTTCTACCAAAATAGAAAATTCACTCAATATGTTTTACTGAAGACTGTCGTCAATACGTTTATAGCTAAATCTCCTCTCTATGGTATATTTTTCACTGCAGGAACCCCAATTTCTCGCTCTGATTAGCTAAGGTTCCCTAATTCGACAAATTGCCAGTTTTGCTTTCTCCAAAGATATCTCTTCCAGCATATCATTATTTTCAAAAACAAGAAGAAACGCAGAAAAACTCTTTTCCAATTTTTCTACATCTTTGCCACAGCGAGAAATCTTTTGTTTTTCTTTCCTGTTTTTTCCTCATACTTTCTCTCTCGTTCCGATCTTCCAAGGTCATTTTTTCACTCGTCAATGTCAACACTTAGACATTAGAACACCCAGAATCTGCTTACGTTGGATTAAGTTACATTTGCAAACCGCATTGCTACCTTTTCAAGCCGGCGGAATCATGATTTTTTTAATTTTTCTTCCCTTATTTTTTCTCTCTCTCCCCTTTACCTCACCCTTCAAAGAAATTTTTACAAGACATCTGAAGTATGTAGCTAGATAGCATGAGAAGCATTTGCTGCAATTTCCGTCATCATCCATCATTTTGAGCGTTGTAGAATCTAGTCACTATCATTTTCTGCAACCATGCAATCACCTTGAAAAGGGATGAAGTTTTTCAGTCATAACTGCAGCTGCGCAATGGCTACTACGCAATCAGGAGAATGATTATATTGTTCAAAACCTGTACGCTGCTCTTATAATGATACTCCAGCTTCAAATCAAAGTTGAAAAGCTCCTCACAATATAATTAATTCCGTCTGCGATTTTTGTGAATTTACAGGAATACAAAAGCCAACTTTTTTGCGCAGTTTTCAAAGGCATCTTAAGGAGTTTTGCAACCATAGCCATTATCCTTTGTGACTTATAATTTGATAGAATTCTCAGAATCATCTATCTTGGTGTAAATTACTACTTACGGACCAATTTCGTTCCGCTCCCACCACTTTGAGAGTGGCTTCGGGAAGACGCAGATACAAGTGAATAAGCCAACTACAATATGAACGTTGAATAACTGTAATTTTGCAAAGTTTAGCGGCAAGATATTTAAGAGACTAATATATGGATATATATATATACATATCTTTAGGTGACGTCTTTGTAATGATTTCCTTTGAAATTTTAATGTCTACAGTGAGACGAAACATTGCAAAAGTGAAGATTGCATAAAGCAATGATTTTTTTGTAATGAAGAATGGGTTTATTAGACTAGGTGAGGGTTGTTCAATTAGGTGAAGCAGTTTTGCTTATTGCGAAAGATATGCGTTTCGTTTTCTGATTCGCTACAGGGATTTGATTATTATTAAAAAGCTCTTGCGTTATCAAATGATGTTTATTAATCCACATTTGGAGTGCGGCAAAAAATGCGGAAGCTCCACTATCAGATTGCATTGTTGATGTGAAAACTTATCGATGATTGTTTGGCTAATCGTGGTGATTTATGAGCTCTTAGCCTTTGCCTGGATAGATGGAAAGCTAAAGTTTTGTAGTTTAAAAAATGTAGTCGTGCAGCCTGCTATAATTTTCCATACCATTGCTATTGCTGCCAATTCCCCGAGAGATGGGTAATTCTCTGATCTGATTAATTCTGTAAATATATTGCTAAATATTGCTACCATTTTTGAGGGTTATTTTTAAGTGGACTTGATGACTGAAACCCTAAGGGGTAGAGGTAAAATGAAGATTATCTCTTAGTTTTTACGCTAAATAGACATATGCTTTGATTGCTTAATGAGAACTTGTTTCGATAAGATTATTTCGGCTGTTAAAAAGTACTATTTTGGATTAGCCTTGTACACATTTTTAAAATTGCTTGAACCTAAAACTAGCTTCAGAAAACTACGGGTTTCATCGTTTCAGAGAATAAAAGTACGCAAAAACTAAGCTCCTTTCAATTCTTTTTCTTAGTCTTATTTACTATATGTGAGCCGTAGTAACAACTTTAGTTTGCAATATATGTGCCGCTGTTGACAACACATGTCTAAAGAAAAGAGAAAATAGATATTATTTGAGCGGGGGGCCCTAAGTCCTCCATATTGTCAATATTATATTTACGTATGGCGTCGAGCCATTTCCGTCTTTACGCCACCATGAACCCTTTGTTTTTCGTAGTAGCTACGAGATGTTAGCAAGCTACTTCTTACTCAGCGCTTCTAAATCCATCTTCGCTTTCGTAGCATTGCATGTTTTTGTTTACGAGTAGTGGCACTAATGGAGTGGCAGAGGGGGGGGGGTAGGACTAAAGAAGGGAAGATTTCAAGTGAACATAATTAGCCGGCTGTGAATATTTTGCATTCGTAAAGTTTGCATGAGCGCACCTCATTATTTTGCAACCGAAAAGAAATCTTCTCCTTCATTGGCGTCCTTGCACAAATTTTTCAATGTCTCCACGCAAATTTGCTCATTTGCAAATTGCAGAATTCAAGCTCTTCGGTTCGGAGATTCTATCTAATCCTCCCAGGAGTTTGTGTTTGCAAATTCTTCCTTAAATCAAATCCAAACCGATTAGCACAAAGTCCAGCGTGAAACAGTGTTGATGGTTTTGTTTTCAATCGCCTCCAAATAGCTTCTCGCTATCAAGAAGAGAACAAACAACCCGTGCCCCCCCCCCCCTTCTAATCTAATCCACACAAACAATCCTTCACTTTCACCTTTGAGCATTGGTTTTGAACCACAAACAATCTCAAAATTTTTTTATCGCATAAACGCTCACAGCGAGCTGTGAGTTTTCTATTTACCGCTACAACTACTTTTTTATACAAATTAGCATTATATCCTTTCAATAATTCACTGCTATAACCAAAGCCTACTTACCACATTCGTTCTTCGGTCATTTTATAATCTGACAGTACATATCTATCTAAATTCATTGCTTTTGGCAGTTGCCTGTGTTTTAGCAGTTGCTTGTGTTAAACATAATTATTGTTTAATTTACTCTAGACCTAAAGTACCTGAGAGTCTTGAAGCTAGCTAGTTTGGAACACTTGTTTGAGATTTATCTTTCGAAGAGCTGGTTAGCGACATGGTTGTTTGTCAGTTTTGCATCAGAATTTGATTAGCAATTGAAAAAAAAATTCACTCAATTTTACAAGCACAGAGGAAATCATTTAGAGTTAATTTCAGTGCCTAAATATTCCTTAAAATGCTCACTCAAGGTTGTAGCTGATTTGTAATATAAGATAGCACCCTTCGCCCTCGAAAGACAGAGTAAAAGGCCAGGCATACTTCACGCGATTTGGTAATATTCCAATTGTCCATGATTCACTATTAGCGTAAATGTACAGAAGATGGGGCATTTTACCGATCCACGGAAGTTATACGCACATGCATGTGCAGTTTGCTAGTGTTTGAACTGAAGACTTCGGCGAATTGCCAAATCGCGTCGCGACCAAAATCGCCTGAAGTATGCCCGGCCCTTAACTCAGAAATACCTCTGTGATCATAGTGGGCAAAGCCAGCTGATCTCTGAGATTTTTCAATAGCATTCTCATAAAAATATCGCTCGAACTATGAGGCAATCCTTGTTAAACACAACGTAAAAACAGCCACATGCAAACCATTTCCTAAGTGCTTTTCATTTTCAGCGCTCATGAGAAGCTTGACAAATGTCTTTACAAATGACATCCCAATATTCTTGTGCCGCGGGAAGAATTTTTTCTGGAAGGAAGGAAAGTGCAAAAACATCAGCTCGCAGGGCAATTTGTCTTTAGTCACGATCCTGAGAAAAATCGCCTAAGTCAAACATTTTAAGACTTGGAATCTTGCCAGTGAGGAAGTCTCTCCAGCCAGGCCTATGAGAAAAATTCCATGTTTTAGAGAACGATTACTAATTTTGAATATTTTTTTTATTTAGCAATGGTCAAGCTCTGCACAAATTCACTATTTGTGTAACTTAACTTCAACTAAATCTCAATCCATTTTTTCGAGTGATGGGTTGGAGAAAAATAACGTCTAGGAAGTGTTTTACTTGCTTAAATAGAAATTATTCATAGGAATTTATTATCGTTCATATTCATTGAATAATATGAATAATAATAAGTTGGATTATTCAGTATTCACAGAAATTATTCAAATTTTTCATTTAAGAGCTTAGACATTTCTCAGTTAATTTTGAATGCGTATTTTCCACCAGTCAAACAACAAATTTTAGAAAACTTTCAAAAATTTTTCGGGATTTTGGGATAGCTGATTTTGCAGCTCCGAAATTTTTCAGAAAAGAATTTTGAGCGCAACATCTGAATGAGATTTAGATTATCTACAAATAAAAACTAGTTGCTCAGCTTCACAAGCAAAATAGTTCACTTTAGAGTCCTCCAACTGAATCCTTCCCCTCCCTCCCCCCCCCCCCGCTTCACACTTTCTTCGTCAACCGGCGATTTTATGTGCAAATATTATCCAGTACTCAGAACTATAAAATAAATTCAAAGGTAATTATACTTTCAGACAATTTACCCATCAAATCTGTCTGGGAATCTGCACTTGTGATTAATTAGTTGCTTTTTCTGACATTTATGAGTGGGACCTGATGTTCTGCTCAAAAATTATGGGTCACCTGACCAGATCAACTTCACGGGGGGCTAAAAATAACGGATCATTTGTCAAACCACCCACTTTGTCCTTTCTAAATATAGTGTGTATCCTGCCTTTTTATCATTTTTGAGTAAAAGCTATAATTTAAGGAGCTAAGTGTGAGTACAAAGGGGTGTTTACATAAGATAAAGCATACTTGCTGGTAAATTGGTAATTTCTTTTTGAGATAGCCGGTCCTGGCGCGAAGTTCTTGCTTGTTAGTAAATTCATGCGTAGTACTTCAAAAGAAAGCAAATATGACGAAGGAGCCAACCAGTTTGTGTACTTCTGAGTTCTTAGCTTAGAGGAAAAAGTCTAGAAACACTGTAATCAACCAGAAACCGTTAAAGTGTTTTCTGTTTTTACGTAAAGATTACATCGTACTAGAAGAAGAGCGAAGCGCACAAAAGCTCAGGAATATCGTCATTCTTTCACTTGCTGGATAGGTGCGGATCTGCTCTGCTTACAACCAGCTGCTTTCGCATTTATACACCTTTTACCGTAAGCCTACCGTACCTCTATAGATACGGTAGTGTGGTATATCAAATATTCATCTTTCATGTCATTTCTTCCACGTTTTTGGGTTGGTTCCTAATTCTGTAATTCACGTGCTTCATGAAAACTACTGTAATTCCAATTGTTCACTGAGCGCACAAATGTCTACCTCGGATATATCAATGAGCAGTGGTGGGCTTCCGCGCTCTATCTCAGACACTCGTGGTTGACTCGCGCGCAAAGAAAAGTTATGTAGCGACAGAATGACTGCGGGACTTAATTAAAACAGTCGCGAGAATTTCGGGACACCGGCACTTTGATCGGGAAGTTACTGCCCGAGTCAACTTATTCTCCCGCACTCATGCAGACCGGGAGAAAATCTGAGCTTTAGCGCAAGACCCGGTAATGTTGCGGATTCAATTACGGCGCAACTTGCGCTCATCACTGTTCTCTTAGTTATTTTTTTAAAATGCATTGAATACCCATGTTTTCAAGTTTATACGCACTTATCAGTACTCAAATAGATGTTTATTGAAAACTTCTTAGAACGTGTACACAGAAAATAGGTGAATTTAGATCTTCAAGTTGCAGCCTGCGGCCGAAGACTGCGAAATCTCTGGGTTCGCTTCCGTGCAGATTGCTTTCCAAGTCTTGTCTTTGGTCACCTGTAAGAGCAACCATATGCATCTATATAGTTCCTGCCAAATAATTCACTGCATCTTAGTACCATTCCATGTGTCTGCAGATGTAAAGATAATAAAAAGGGAGCAGATTTTGAGACAGCCTACCGGTACAGCGCTAGTGATGTCGTCACTTTCCAAGAACGCATTATTATCATCACTATGCTCGGTATCAAGAGAATTCTCCTCGCTCGCTTCGTTTTCAGATGTCACTTCAACCTTCTTGGTCGGGGCAAAGTCTCGATTCTGCAATACTGGCAAAAATCATCAAAATTAACTCCCCGGTAGAGCAAAGACAGATTCTAAGCTTACTGCTTTATCCAACTCTTCTTGCGAAAAAATCAACATGAGCAAGGTGAAGTATCAGCGCACGCGTGACGCTATAGGAAATCTGAATGCAAAAACAATAGTGAAAGTATCAAAACACAAATATCAAACTCAGTCGAGACCATTGCTGTGCCATTTGAATCCATATTCCATGAAGAAAGACACTGCTCACCTCATCCCAAATTTTATCATCAATATCAATATGACGCACTGCCTGTATGATTCACGCAGTTGTGACTGTTGCATGTATATGTATAAAATTCGCAAACCTTGATCATCACCATATTTGACAACACTGTCGTTGCAAATGCTGATGAAGTTTCTTGCGAGTATTTGTCTGAATGTGCGCATATCTTCGCAGCGGACTGACATAAACGATACATCAGTTCTGACCTATAAATCAGACATTTTGAAGACGCCGCCTATAACTACCCAAGACTCACCACACTCTTGCCTTTGCCATTTTACCAGTTCATGCTCTTTGGAAAGATCGTGACCGTAATCGAAAGCCGAAAAGTAGCAGCATAAACAACAAACAAGAACACATAATCAAAGAAGCACCTAAAAGCTTACGAAGAATTATAAATAAGCACATGATGAAGTTATATACTAATAAAGAAGTAATTATCTGGGAAGAAAAAAAGTGAAAAGTGAGCGATGAAAAAAGAAACATAATCCGAGATCATATGAACGAGAAAATAAGGCTTTCAGACTGAACTTGATGATGCAAAGAAGTTTTATCCCGATCTAAGGGTGATTCTTCATAACTGTTTGCTTTGAATATGTTTCTTAACCTATTCCAGCTTTAGATTAGTCGACAAAAGCTGCATGTCTGCGTTACGTACTAGGACAGATTACTAAGTCAGATTACTAGGACACGGAAAGCAAAAGCAGAATGGCAAATTACCACGATGCAAATATAAGCATGATTTCCATCAGAACAACAAACTAATTGAAAAGATGAGAGGGAAAAACGCGAAAAAGAGAAGCAAGATTTGAATTCGATGCTACCGCAACTTCTATTTTTGAATTTAGCCGCCCAACGCAAAGCATGCGTGATTGCAGACAACACCATATGGTAATATTTTGACGGCTAATCACGACCAAGACCATTTCCGGGAGTCGCGACGGGTGTCATGAATTTCTAAAGCCTCGTCTTTTGGTTTCGCGATTAGCCCGACCGTCGCAACAAAAGCGCGTATGCCGCAGCAGTACTCATTTTTCCGCGATACCCCGTTTTGTGGGCGGATCCACTGCGCGAGTCAACCACGAATGTCTGAGATGGATAATGGCGGCAGATGGCCTTTTTGCACGGCAGTCTCCAGCAACCACCCTGATGAATTTAATTTGTTTTAACACGTCTAGCACGCGGCAAATCTGTTCTCCTCTCGGCTTAGCAAAAGCCGCCGCAGGCGTGTCGCGCGCGCTGGGTGGTCCTGTGTGGAAAATTTCCAACGGCATTACGGTAGTCGGTCCACACTCAATACCGGCTACTAAGAGACTATTTGCATCCATTTTCAAAAATGCATTTTCATGTTTTTAGCGTTACTATTTTTGCGAATTCTGCAATTTCTGTAATTCGTGCGATCCCTGTGATTTCTGTGTTTTCTATAGTTTCCATTATCCGTGGAGCGCAGAAACTTTTGACACAAGTCATCGTTACTAGAAAAGCGAGTTTTGCGCTTCAGGAATAACGCATTTAACGGCAGCATCCGAGCATATTTGAACTTCCTCACTCATTCTCGTACTGGGGGTACTTGGGCTCGATCTATCAAAAACCTGCACAAGCCCAATCTCGAAGCACTGTCTTTGAAAGGAGGGAATCTTGTATTTCTGAAGCCGGTTGCGGACCGCCCACTTTTATATGCGCCCACCTCTTGGACAAGAAATCTCCTCAGAACTTGGCGCGATTTCACATGGCAAGCACAATTGAACACATGCCGTTTAACGTGTTCAAGCTTGTTTTCGACAATACAAGGTTTTAAAAAATTGACTTTGAAAGAGGTTTTAGAGGTTCGCATTTTGAGTTCCGTATTTGTCAGCATCCTTAAAAGGCTTGGACAAGAAAGAAGTAGAAGTTGAGACTCTTTCGGAAGAGGTCTTTGGATCAAGGAATCAGTCGCAGGACAGACTTGCAAGACCTGGGTGGGCAATGTTCTGCAAGCGTTTAGCTTTATATAGAGTGCATTTGCACACACGCACAGCTTCATCTCTTCTCACATCTAATCGCTCATGTCCTTTCCCACGAAAGGGAACCACCCTTGACGAATGAATCCTCTAAATTCGAAGGCGCATTTATCTCTTGTCGTTTTCCGCGCCAAGTTGTCCTCTATACGTCTTAGAAAAACTAACTTTACTCTTGAGGAGAGCTGATTCTCCCTCCTCAAATCCCCCCTCCCCCCCCCCCCCCCCCAAATTTTTTATCCTCGATCAAAAACCTTATGACTGAAAATCACGTTGAAATTTCATCGTACTTTTTGCCTCCTCCTCTCAATCCACCAAAGAAATAAAAAAAAAGAAGCTTGTTGACAGCCATTTTCCACAAAGTAACCGAAACCAATCGATTTTCATAGAATTAATGAAATTATCTCAATCGTAGCTTAGAACATCTGCGAAAAATGTTTTCTGCGCAATTTTGTCATCAATGCAGGCCTTTTCGAAAATTTCTTTGGGGCCCTCGGCTGCCTTCCACCCTCTCCCCTCCCCACATTCGATCCCGTATTTAGATTCAGTGTTTGTGAGCGCACCCACTAACCTAACAAAAGCAAAATGATATAATGAAATCGTACCGTACACTTACAGTAATCCCATCGATCCAAATTCCCAAACGTCCTTTTTCTTCGTCAAGTGCTAAAAGAACTTCGAGTATGGCAAACGAAAAAAAGTTTAACTTCTTTCGTCTTACTTCCTTATCACACTTTTCTGCAAACTACACTTCTTAACACTTTCGAAAAATCAAATAATCGCAAAGATCTTCAACTGCCTCTTCCAATTCCAGTTTTATTTTCTCTACATTCAGATCAAAACCTTGTGATTTCTACGAACACAAAACATATTATCTGAAGTTTTCGGACGAAAATTACATGGTTTTTAGTACATTGTAGATTTCATATATCGAGATTTTTCTGCAATTTCTCATAATTCTGATTTTTTGAAAGGATCAAATTTTTTGAAAAATGAAGGTATAAAAGCTTAAATTCCAAAAAATTATTTCAAGTTATATTAATCAAACATTACTATAGCCTCATTTAATTTTCTAATGTGAGATCTTTTTCTCATTTCACACGCAGTTTTTTGCACTTTTAAAATTTTCAGGGTCTCTTCGGAATTCACTTATTTTCTTTTTTCCTGTCTCTTTTTCTCCTGAGGTCCTGTCCGGACTTTCGTCAAGAATTCTCTCCCCCCCCCCCGCCCAACCCCTGTCCTTTTCACTTGGACATTTGCTGATCGTAAATCGTTACACCTAGTTTATTTCGTTGTTTGCCTAGGAGTATGATCGAACAGCTGCTTTTATTGTCTTGCAAGCTATTCGATTCAACTACTTAATCGAAGTAAAAACGAATCCCCGGTGTCCAGGCTGTCACTTCTTTCGAAACAAATCGTTTGCCTAAAAGTTATTGTCTAAGCGGCCAAGCGTTTGCATAAAATTACGTTTCTCTTTCTTGCGAGGCGGCTTGCGGGCCATCACTCTTCTCTCTCATTTGTCCAGCCATATTCACTCAGAAAAATAATAGGCTGTGAACCAAAATGCTCACAAAATTCAAGTTATAATCATGTCAACTCAAAGAATTCATGCTAAAGTTGTGCATTCAAATAAAGATGAGATTTTGAGGTTCTCAAGATTTATGTAATCAATTTACTCAATTTCAATTTCTTCTGATTTTTATTCATCGGAAATTCGTATACACCACTTTTGGCCGTGATTCAAGTTACTAGCCGTGAATTCTTCAGGGAATTACTGTAAGCTTACTATACTTCATCAAAATCTCCCTATATAGGAGTTGGATGGTTCTCTTTGATTTATCGCATTAGTGCAGAAATTGTTTCACAACCTTTTCACAGTAGATACTCCTTTTAACCTAAAAATATCAACAAGACATACTTAAAATTATATTAATCTGTTTAAATCTGATTATCTTCTCATCAGTTTTCGGTAAACTCGAATAATCAGAAAAATTAGCCATTACAAATAGCGTAGCACTTGTCAGCTCAAACGGAGCGCTCTTATTTTGCATTAATAATCGCCATTTTGCATTTTTTCAAAATCATTCTGTGAATTCAGCTATTTACCGTAAAACGTATCATTTCGTACAATTGTTTTTCTTATGTAGGTTATGTTCTTATCTCTTTAGTTTCCCAATTCCCATTATTATTTGGGAATGGCCAAGCGTTTAGATAAAATTACATTATCTTTTTACAAGGCAGCTAGTGGCTTATCTGCCTTCTTTTTTTGTGATTTCTCCATCCATAGGGCCAAATTGCATTTACGGAATGCACTACTCTTTGTGGAAATTTTAGCTTTCGTGGGATAGATTAAGTAAAAGCAAGCCTATACGATAAACTACTCCTCTGAACTCGATTCCTATTCATAGTTTCATTTTGGCCTTGCATTGACATCTGGCTTTTGTGAGAAATGACCTAAGCTCCACGTTGTAGACTGCTTTCTAAAAATTACTGTAAGTCTACGGTACTGAATCAGATTTCCATTAGGCTATTTTAACGCGAATTTTCTAGAGTTTGTGCCACATAAATATTTTATCTGCATAAAAATACTTCTGGGATTGATTTCGATAGGCGGGGTAGGGGGATTTCAAAAACAGTCTACATTAGTTATAAAATTGTGCAGATGACCTGTTTTCATAGGTGAATAATTAGAATAATTTTACTAATTCAATAGAATTGCATCGTTCCTGTCAAGAAGTTTAGACATTTATTGAAATCCCACATCTACAACTTAAAATATTATCCAAAAAAACCTCAAAAATCTTGTCGTAAACCCGGCTAACCATGCCAATAATTTCTTTCGTCCTTTTCCTCCCCTCCCCCCCAAAAATCTAGGACTGTTTTAAAGAAATCCTTATTTTGTAAGATCCATCTCTCTGCGAACTTTGCGGAATGAATTTTACTTCTAAGTTAGAAGCTAAGAATTTACCATGCAGTTCTACGATTCTAGTTCTATTTTTCTCAATTGTAAAGTCCATTCTTTTCACTTTGAGCAAATTTTTTTGCGAGTCCCATCAATGAGCACGGCCTCATAAATCATAAAATATGGCGAAGTGTCAACCTAGCGTTCATCGTAACGGGTTTCTTCAATTAATATCGTATCCGCGTTGCAGTAGTACACATCCATTTTCAAATGCATCAAGCGTAGTGAGCAATTAATTTCGTAACCGGTAAGGACAACACATTTTCTTGATTTATGTGCTTCCCAAATAAGGGCTTGTCGCAAGCTCTGCAGCGGATTTCTATGGTTATTTGCTCTCTGGAGCTTTTTTCCTCTTCCTCTTATATACTTTTATACATCAGCACAATTCTTTTTCGCCCACGGTTCCGTTTTTGATACCTAGAAATTTTGTATATATTAACTGATTTGTTTAGAAAAACATTCTCTCAGAAATGGGTAAAATTTTTAAAAGTAGTCTAGAAGAGTTACGAAATCAGAAAAAGAACTTATTTTATTAGAATTAGAACCTTTTTGCATTTAGAAAATTCATGAGGCTCATAAAAACCCAAACTAGCCTCATAAACCTTTCTAGAGCAGTTTTTGAGACTAGAAATTAGAAAGCATTTAAACTTTACGGAGCTCATTCGGAAAAAGTTCTGTCGAGCCACACTTCCCTTCCCCCCCCCCTCTAAAAAAAGCCCCTTCCCCCAATATAAAAAATTTCCAGGACCAAAGTGAGGATGAATTGTAGGGCTCGGCACGAGATGGCTTTCCGAAAATGCAAAAAAAATGAAGTACCCTTGGGTTTCGCAAAATTTTACGAAGTTTCCTTTGACCCTAATCTTAAACGTAAAAAAACTCCCAAAAAAAGAACACATCAAGAACTTATATCTTCTTTTTCCTTCATTTTCTTTTTTTACGCCTCGTGATTAATTTCTTCATTACTTGTTCTCCTTCTATTGATTTTTTTGCAAACCCCCTAGCATTTTTTCTCGCAAGATCAAAGCCTCCCGACTATTGTCGGTAAAGTCAACATTCAAAAACAATACTGTTACTCCTTCCCGAGCACCAGCTTGCCCAGCGCGCGAAGTCACTCTATCCCAGCACTCTCCGATTTCATTATCTTAGCCTAAAAGACTTTCGAGGCGATCTTGTTACCGGAGCTTCGGACTGCTCTTTTTTCAAGCTAATTCCTGTTTTCTGTTGAAACAGTATTTCTTCATTACTTGTTGTTGTTGTAAAGGAGTAATGTGAGAATTTGAGACGGAAGCTGGAAATCACATGGGAAATCACAGGCTTTGTATAATAAATAATGTTTTTTGAGAAGAGAGATAGAATAGTCTATGCATTAAGTATGAATTTCTTTTTGCTTTTGCTCCTACAATAACCCCACTGGACAAAAAATCTCAGAATTGTAAAAACTAGGTTTTAGTGCCTTATTGGCAGCGTTCCAAACAACCCAAGTACCTGGGCTTCTTATGTGAAAATTGATTGAGAGTTCTAAAAAAGCCACTCCTTAAGCGCCAAACATATGATTTCTCGTGGCCGAGAATCGACTATAATTTCTCGCCTAATACCATACTCGAAGAAGCCGTTTAGACGCAGAGTACTGTCTGGACGGAGATTCACGATTGGATAACTTGGCCAAGAATGACTCTTTTGAGCTGTTACCAAAATTATTGCCAGATTAAGGCCTTCATAACAGTTTTACATTGAAATTCTAGATCCCGATTAATTCGCGTACTGCATTCAAGAAAAGAGTGCCGTATAATTTTCATAATATTCTAGGCTGAGTAATAAACTTCGCAGTTATTTTACGGTTTTTTAAGAATGCGAATAGTACTGACGTGCTGTAACATTTTTTAAATCAGTCATTTTCGAAGAATCAAATTGTGTTACGGGAGTAAAATTGTTTGGGAATTCTCAGAATCCGAAAAGTATTTGTATTATTCATGCAATAGCTCGCAGAAATTCGAAAAATTCTGAGGAAACTGTGTTTTTACGAAATTCCTGAGAATTGTGAGTAAAAAATTTATCTTGTCAGGATTCCTGAATTCAAGAGGATTTTCCTGTAAAAAAGCTCGGTGGACTTCCCTGAATCCAGAGCTGAAAAATAGGAATGTATTGATACATTTTATTAGATTCATCTGCTCTTGTTATTTTTGGCCTGCTGCCTCAGCTAAGCACTTTCTCTTTCAAAGTGTCCAAATGTCTCTAATCCATCTCACAAAAACTCCAAAAACAAACTTCTGAGCCCCCCCCCCCCCCCGCGTATGCATGTGTGTACATCGCTAGATAGAAAAGAGTGTCACAGAGCAATAGCTGTCCTGACGCATAGAAACGCTTTTTCTCGTCCTGCAGGAGATTTCGCAGCTTACACAAAGCGAATGACCAAGCAAGCGCTGTCACTCACTCACGCTTTGTGCAGTTTGTGCACTCTTCAAACTGGAACTTTCTATTGTTTACAGGATTTGAGTGAGGAAATCACGGCACCATTGCACAATCTTACTCTTGCTGAAAGCCCATTAATCAGCGTATTTCTGCTCTACAATAATCTCTACGATTTTCGAATGTGAGTTCCTTTCTTTTCTCTTTTTTCGTTTTTTTTCTTATTGTCATAGGTAGCACTGTCCACCCAAATCGAAAGTGATAAATTTTTGTTACTGTGCAACAGCGGGGCCCCTGTCTAGTAAAACACTTGAAGTCCTGACGTATAAGATGCATTCCGAAACGAGAAAATCGCTTCATTAGTTAGAAGCGGAAAGGGTCGCTCCGCCCATCAACGTGGGTAGTCTGAAGATATACTTCAAATCTGAGCTCAAATATGTCCAGAATTGTTGAAAGCTGATAATGATAATGAAGGGCGAATTTTCTACAGTTATGGACACTTTCAAACCCAATTCTGAACATGTATCTTCGGACCACCCACGTTGATGGGCGGAGCGAGCTCTGCCGCTTCTAAATTCTAAAGCAATTGTCTCGTTTCTGACTTTGCATTTTGAAGCGGGATTTGGGCGATACCTAATTTGAAGGCCACGCTAATAAAGCTTATCAAATTTTGCCACCCTCATTTTTTGTGGACGGTGCCTTTAATCCCATAATTACTTCTCAATGGATACAGGTGGCGCAAGTCCGTCGATGTTCGCGTCAGCGATCTGCGTGCTCTATGCTCGTCATCTGCTCGGGATAACATCATGTCATGTCCATCCTCATCATCTGACTCCATTTTTCGCATCGAACTCCCAAACGGAAAAACTACCGTGATCTCACATGGTAACCAGGATGCGAAACAGCTGCTAGAGAAAGTGTGCATCAAACTTGCTGTACAGGTAGATTTTACTCACAAATTTCTGTTTATCCACTCAAGACCTGTTTTTCTAGCCGGACTTCTTCGAGTTAATTCGAGGCCCTGATGGAGGATGGAAACTGTCAATGAGAGAAGAATATGAGGTGGAGAAGAGGCACGCAAAGCTTGGGCTCACTATCTATGCATACAACGACAATGGAGTCATAAAAGCAGAGGTGCTAGTTCTATTCGCATAAAACTCAAACAGATGTAAATATTGTGATGGGCTGAAATTTTCTCCAATGAGCCCTACAAAAAGTGCTTCTTAGAAATTGCAATACCAATGAATGTAAATATAATAGAATAATCAGATTGCAAATAGAGTTTTTCATACTATTCGTTTTGCATGGCTACGATCGAGTATCTCGCGCTCTTAATGCCTTTAATTGCTGGCTTTCAGTAATCGTAACGATCTCTCTCATTCTAATTCGGAAATCACGAGATAAGCCTCATACATTTCCTCAATAAGGACATTATTGTTCTATCATTTTGTCTTTTTTTAATAGACATCAGTATGACTTCAAACTCCATCAATTTTACGCTACGCTGTGGAATTTTACATTGTCCTACTTTCATTATTTTTTCATTCCAGTGGGGGTCATCTCTGACAATATCGTTCTCATCATACTTTGCATTGTTTAAAATTATGAATCATTTGATTTCTTGCTGATCACAATGCGCACGCAAAAAATTTCACATCTGATGTCTTTCTTGTGTTTTTGTGATATGCCGAAGCTAAAAAAAATTGTATAAATCACCATTAAAATGTACTTCATCGTCTCTCAAGCTTTCACAATTGCTATTCTTAATCTTTACCCCTGCCTTTGGTAGACTAGCAAAACAGAAAATCCAGCAGCTTTTCACAATCTCCCTGGCTTGCGTCGAGAACCTTGCCCTCAGGGCGCATGACAGCATGTAGAATATGGCATTTGGTTTGAAATAACTTCAATCTATTCTTTCATTCGAGGAAATGATTTCACGAAAGAACTAATATTTCGTGAGATCGAAATAAGTTTTTCTAGGTCCGCGGAGTCACTCCATATGCACCGGAAGGAGCTGACATAGGAGATGTAGTCATTAGTGTTGACGGGAAGTTGATCTCTCAGGTGGGCGCAAACGCATCAACACGGATTAGAGACCATGCTATTTATGTTCTTATGTTGATAAACGAGTTACAATGCAGCTCACGGATGTGCAAAATTTTCGGGAATACGCGACGGTTGGCGAAATCATGCGAATCGCGCAAATTACGCAGCGCCATAACTCCTTCAAAGTGCTTGGATTCTGCCATAAGAAAATAGTGCTCTGTTTAGCTCGAATTCACTATTCATGCATTCTGAAGAAGTTTATCTTGCTGCGTGTTTTGCGTGATTCGCGTGATTTTGCGACAACGTAATGAGATTCCGCAGATTTTCGCGACAATTCCGGATATTTTGCATGTCTTGTGAGCGGTACTGTAGAGGAGGTTAATTTAATTTCTGTGGAAAAAAAGAATAAAATCGCGAATAAAATTGCTCATTAGTCTAAATTTTTAAGGTTGCTTCTGCGGCAGATGTTGAGCGTTTACTGACCGAGGGTAGATTAATTCGCCTAAGAAAAGCAAGAAAACCAACAAAGTCTGGCACGGACTCGGTTAGGGTGAGTTACATATCCAATTTCTAGGAAGAACACTTCAGCTACTATATTATGTCTCTTAGATGCCTGTCCAAGAAAAGCCTCGTCCACCAAAACCTTGTACTCAGTCTGAAATCGCGGTCACGGATGAAGCTCGCAGAAAAGCAGAGGAGAAATTATTGCGAAGCATAGAAGAACTGCTCCAGACCGAGAAAAAATATGTTGATGACCTAAAGGAGGTGGAGCTGCACTCTTTTTTTTCAGTTTTTTTTGTATTCGTGTTGATGATCAATTTTTCAGATGATTGACAGATATCTAACCATTCCATCCGTACGTGAAATCATGGAGTCAGCTCTGCGATTGCAGAAAATGCAGGTAATTCATCTAGAACCGAGATCTTCATTGCGATGTGAAGTTTTTGAAATTTTTTTAGATGTCCTTCCTGGATTCCCTTGAGGAAGCACTTGGAGATATTGGAAATGGCGATAAGAGTGCGCGACCGCTTGTTCGGGTAGGACTCCAAGCATTAGGACTTTTTTCTGCAAAAATCAACAATTTTCCGTTCAGGACGCCATAATCCGAGTTTGCGCTTTGTTTGTCAATCGGTGTGGTGACTTCAAAGTTTACGCAGAATATGCGGCTGCTTATCTACGTTTGCTGCAGGAGCTACCGTCACGGAAGGATATGTTGGCAAGCTTGGAGGTATGGAAGCTTTGGTTAGAAATGATCGGAGTTTGAATGGAACATTAGGTGCTGCTCTCTAACCTCTCTCATTCTCCCGTACTGTATAACGCAGCCTACTTTTTAGTTGTGGTCAGGATAAACGCAGAAAAATTGAGAAATTGAAAGAAATCAAGGGGTCAATATTTTTATGCATTGAAAATTTGCAAAACTTTACTGGCTAACGTTATCTCAAAATCTCAAAGCTAGATTACAGGTCAATCCAAAAAAACTTATGTTTATTTCTCAAGATTATGTGATCTCCATATAAGTAATTGAGCTAGGAGTGTAACTCTTGAAACCTTCCAAGTGATTTTGAAAATTTGACAATTCACAAACCTTACTGTACGGAAACGGTCGAAGAAGCAAAAACCCTTTTCGTGCATTAAATGCAGGGGCGGGGATCTGAAGCAAAAAAATTCGATAATGGGAACAGTCAACTCTTGTGTCATTTCAACCGTCTTCAGCTTTCCAAAGATGTATAGAAAACCCGACCTTCTTGCGGTTTTGTGGGAAATTTTGAATTAAGAAAATCCAATCTTTCAATGCGGGCTCAGCTAAAAGAATTTAGCTGAGCCCGCATTGAAAGATTGGATTTTCTGCATTGTTGTACATCCCATTCTTTCTGAGATAGAATAATCGGCCGCTTCCAAAGAAATAAAGAAGTTTCCAAGTTGAAGCTAAGAACTATTTTGCATACGCTCTATTTCAATACATCAAGCTATATGCACACTGGTCCTTTTCAACAGTTCCAAAATCATAGCGCTCGAAACAAAAGAATTGCCGCGAATTTTAAGAATTTGAATCGCAAACTTTTTATTTTCACATATTAGAAAGGAGAATATCGAAATGGCACATTGCCTTCAATACTCTTCGACATAAGAAACTCAGTTTTGATTTTTCAGGCTGCCAACAAGTCGAAGGAGCAGCACTGCTCTTATGAATCGCGTATGATCAAACCAGTACAACGGGTAGTGCAGTACCCATTATTGCTCAGAGCTATCCAATCATGCTGCGAACCGGACACTCTTCAAGCTAAGCAGGTCTGGAAAGCCGGTCACTCTTACGTCATAATATTTCTAATGTTCAGGTTCAAGTGGCCCTCCAAAAAATGCAAACACTTGCCGAGTACGTGAACGAAATGCAAAGGGTCCATGAACAGTATGCACCCAACATTGATGCTCTACGTAGACAAAATGAAGTCATGTTTAGAGAGAAGGTAGGGTATTGAAACATTGTACAAAATTCTAAATTATCCTGATTTCAGGGTTTACGCATAGATATCCGCGATCTACTGCTATTCGCTCACATCCAATGGCTAAACACTGAAAAATACATGCAAGACTATGTGATCTTCGTCTTTCAGACACTAATTCTTCTTCTTCCAAGAACCGCGAGAAGAGAATGCAAGGTAATAAATTGCTTAAAAATATTTTTGGAATCTTCAATATTTTAGCAAACAATCAAAAGATATTATGGGCCTTCCTCCACCTGTAGAATTGTCTCTTATCTCTTCAGATTTTCAAAAATTTTCTTATTAGCAAGTTCTTGGTGTAAGCTCTTTACTGACCGAGCCCTCGCTTGAACTTTCTTTCTTTCTTTTCTCATGCAGCCTTATTTTCTTCATTTTTTGGTTAATTTTTAAAATTTTACTAATGCGCTTAGGGGTACCAAAAAGAAAAAGATAAGAAGAAACCTCGAAATAACAAATATAAGCATTTTATAACTGCCACTCACACCTTCAGCTCCATGAGATTTCACTTAAGTACTTCCAAAGTTTCAAGCTATCAAAACTCCCAAACAAATCGTCTAAATAATAAAATTTTCTGTTGAATCAGAAGCTCTGCGTATACTCGGAAAATTAAAAGTCTGTTTTATTGACATTTGCACAGCTGTTTCACGTCATCCTAGTGAACCAGCTTGCACCGAAAAATTCTATAAAATGATGTCTCCGGAAAGATTTTATTATGCTCATCTTTGAACAAATTTATAAAAATCTTCTAAAGAGAAAGGCCATGAGAATATTATCTTATTGTTTGCAGTAAACTTTCCACTAGAGTCTTACGGAAAACATCATCCCTACAATAATCAAGTTTTATAAGTGGAGTTCTCCGTAGAAGTTTGAAGACAGGCTCAGTTTACTAATGGCATCACCCAATGTAATCGTCATGAATATGTTTGATAAAAAGTGGTGTTTGTTTGCATATAACAGGCACATACTCAGATTTCACCATCTCGTCAACTAACATAACATTTCCAACATTACTATTGGCTGAATCATTTGTTTACTAACTATAAATTCTACTAAGAGTCATTCTTTGTCACCGATTAGATTATGCAAGAAAATAAGACATGAAAGTGTTTACAAAGATGAAAACTGAAACTTTTTCCACGTGTTTCACCTACTTTCCCGCTTTGGTGCATTAATTGAGCTTTTTGTCAAATTTGCAAACAAGCATTTAGTAATGGGAAAGGTAAAAAGATTGATTACTACTCTTTTAGATTACTTGTCTTTTAGAATGCATGAAAGTTTATGAGAACTACTGTTGCTCATTACAGAACAAATGGATGCGAGTGTTGCCTATAGCGGAAATTGTGGTAGAGGACGATAGGAAGGACGAACCTGTGCTTTCGATTATTCATGCTCCATGCAAAGACACTGACAAACCCTCCAATCAAGGTGAGTCAGAGCCTTTGTCGTAATGCTACCGTATCCCAACATTATAATTTCAGAGACAGTCTACCATGTGGCATGCTGCCAATTATCATTGAAGCACCAACTTGCAAGGAGCATCAGAAAGGCTCGGACTAATCTCATGTAGGTCTTAGTTCTTGAGCTATTTGGAGGCAGTGTCCAGGTAGAACTAATTACCTGGGTTTCTTATGTGGAAGCCGTATAGGAAGCCTTAATTGAGCCATCACCCAAGCGGGAGCTCATAAGACTCATCCGTAATCGAAAAAATTACTTTTGGACTCTCGCCCAGACCGTGCGCACTTCGTAGAGATTACGATCTAGGCGAGTGTTTAGAGGTGAAATTCTCGATCGCGAATGAACCTTATGAACTTTCGTTTGGGCAATTTCAAAGCTACAGCTTCCGGACCAGTTTCCTTGTAAGAACACTAGGTAAACGGACTTTTTTGGATATTGCCCTGAGCTTAATTATTATAGTATCATTTACTGCACTTCCTTAATTTCAGTCGAGAAACTCGACGCCCACTAAGTGGATCAAGTCAATCGGATGGCGGTTACGGTAGCGATCCGATGAAGGACAGGAAGAGCTCGTGATCTCGTGGATGTTTACCCATCTGCTCCCATCCCACTATAGCTCGCCATCGACCCCTTTCCCTACCTCTGCCATACACATTACATATTTTAAACACAAAATCGACTATTAAGCACTTTGTTATTGATAGATCAACGACTGGCAATTGTTGCCATGACATTGCGTTCGGGTATACATTTTCATTCTTGATAAAGCTTCTCTAGATCTGTGTATTGTTGTTTCGTCTAAAATCTTCTCACTTTCACTGAAAAATCCCACAAAAGTTTTCCCGGCGTTCACAGACGGTTCGATCACTTTTTTAATGCAACTTCACTCAATAATCCACATCTGGTAAAAAAATTATTGCGTCTCATTGTGACAAGCAGCATGAAACTCTAAGAAACTACAGGTATGCTATGTAATAAGCTAACTGTGGTTCATTTGGGTTGTACCATCAAATTGCTCCAAAAATTCTTCAAATTTCTGTTATGTTGGAAGATAATTTCCAGTGTAATATTCTTCTGTCCTGAAAAATCTTAGAATCTTCCTGTAAAACCCCATGTTGTCTCATACCTTGGCAGAATCTGCTATTTGTGATCGATGCCGCAAGTGCACATATAGCCAAGAAATTTACGACCGCTTTACAGACATAACCGAATTACCTAAACACATTAATTTTCTCTCTCTTCTTGTGTTTTTTCTTCTGTTTCTCTCCGAATCTATTTCAGCATCTTCTCTCCTACGACAATAGTCTGATTCACAGAATGAGAGGTAAAAAATGGTAAAAAAACCCGAAGTTTTCGGAATCCTTCTTTTTATATATTTCATGAGTAAATTCATAATTAGAAGTAATTTTTATATCTTTTTGAGTAGTTCTTCTCAAGAACTCTTCAATGAGTCAATTTGAAACTCCGTGCATCATGCAACCCTAACGAAAAAATTTTTCACTGAAACTGTTTAGTTCCGATTTTCTTTGAATTGCTGCTCCTTGTAGGAACAATCTTCATAAACTTGTTTGCAGCCTCGTGGTGAATCTCTAGGACTGATATGAATTGATTTTTTGCAATCTAAGAGAAAAGAATAATCAATGATGCATAAACACATTTCACTAACATGGCCATATCTCAACATAACATAAGGTATTCTAAACATAATCGATCATCATCGTCTATATGTTTGAAAATTCAGAACATAAACAATCAATTTCTGCCTCCATTCATTCACCAGTTGCTTAATTCCTTCCCTAGAATGAAGGGAATCGATCTCATTCCATATGCGACGTTATCACGCTCTGAATTTGAATTTCCGTTTTCTATTGCGCCCGGAAGAAAGGCGAAACATTACACATTGCATTTTCGACGTTCCCACATCACATATCAATAACGATGGAACTTTTCAATCTTGGTGGGAAAAGAAGGCCTTCATTCGTTACATTCTGTTTTCAAATTATTGATTGTCCTGACATGTTTTTCTTGCGATAATCATCTACTCGATGGTAGAAAATCAAATTTCTTATTTTTTGGAGATTTCTGAGATTCGCTAAATTGTCTTCTTGAATCTCGTCCTTTCAATGCCTTCAAATTTCTCTGAAATTCGTTAAAATGTATTCTGAAAAACTCGTCCTTTCAGTTTCTAGATACGATTTTCTTGATATTCATTAATATGTATCAAAAACTTGTCCATTTATTATGATACTTTCTCATAAAATTTCCTGAGATTCGCTAACTTTTATTTTAAAAAACTCGATTCAGCACCTTCACATAACTTTTCTTTCGTCGTATGTATAATGTCATAGATCGTTCCAAAGTGCGAAATTCCGGGTTCAAATGATTATAATTGCCGCCAATTTCGGTAACCAAACCCCTTTTCTAGATTATGTGATGCATAATTGATGCCCTGGTATAAATACCCAGATCATTCTTCTTCGTATTTATTTTCTGGATTTTTCATGCAAAGGCGATCTTTCTTTATTCCATTGTCTCTCATGCTTTCACTCTTCCTAATCCATGATTTATAAACAACATTAGGTTGGTGCACAAGTGCTGCAACAAAATCTTTTGAATTTAAATTTTGCTTTGACTTCTAAAATCGTTCAAACTCATTATAAGAAAAAAATAATCTAATATTTTAATAATTATATCAAAAGGTTGACAAATCACTACGACAGGAGCTGACCAAATATACTCAAAAATGTTTTTTTTTCTGGATTTAGAAGGCTGAAACTGCTATATTGTCCTTCAAGATTTGTACAGTACCATCACTGCTGCGTTGGAATACTGTGATATACAGGGTGTCCCAAAAATGTGAACACTGTTCAATCATTATTGACTTTCTTGCTTTGATGCCTTTCGGCGAACTTTAGGTACCTTCCTACATAGCGGGGTTCAACTAAGAATTACAGCATGGAGCGATTCATCCATCGTTCTTCTTTACTGTAGAATTTGGGTATAAACTTTAATAAAGGTTTTGAGCCATTGAGGGCCCTATTTTGCCTCGGAAAGCGAACCAGACACAATGGAAGCTCTCAAACTAGGCTAATTGAAGTCATTGAAACCAAATATAAACTTTGCATTTTACCGTTATGTTTCCTTCATAACTTATGGCATGTATGTCGCAATAGCTGTCTTGGCAATGCTCCCTAAAATTTATTGCACCATTTATTAAGCTTTATAAACCCTTAAAAAGTTGGTAATGAAATCAGAGAGCGTAATATTCCTGATACAACATTTAGAGTTTTTGAGACCTTTTTTGAGACAGAAAACCACAGCAACGCTGTAAGCCGGAAGTTCCTAAGATAATCCTACAGTAATGGAGAGTGATCGGTGGTTTGCTCCAAACAAATCTGAGTAACTGCTAAACAATCTAAAAGTGCTTTTGAACATTTCATAATTTTGAATTGAAGAGCTTCTTTTGGAGCCATCGGCAGTATAACCGCATGTCGCGTCGAGATCGCCGTACCGCGATAATCTTCTTTAAGTTGAATCCATCAAATTTTAATACAAATGATTGAAATTAGTATTTTTTGAACTTGTTAAAACGCCTCTTAAATTTTCAAAAGTCTATTTTTACCTATATTTTTTTCGCTTCCAGCAGCGAGTTTTGGAAATTTCAAAGAGCCTTCGAATAGTTCGATGGATTGAAGTTGAAAGTTATGGCAGTGCGCCGATACCAACGCGGCAATGCGTTTATATCGCCCATGTTCCCGGAAAAGATCCCTGCAAACGAGATTTTGAAACTTTTGAAAACACTTTTAAATTGTCCAGAAAGAGCTGATTCCAGAAAGTCAAGCTAGAATTCGATTGGTTGAAGTTCATTCGAGGTGTCGCAAAGAGGCACTTCCGGCTTGCAGCGCGCTTATAAGGGATTTCAAGGCGGCAGTGATGGTAACGTAGTTTTGAGATTTGCTCCTTTGATCTAATAAAGCTCGCGTTGATTGATTTCTACGATGCTCCTACGATTTGAAATTCTTAAACTATTCTTTTAAGTTGTCCCGAAAGCAAACCATATTTATAGATAAATCAGACTGTTTTTGTTTTCCTAGGAGACGTGGGGTGTCATTCGATAGAGTAAAGCAAGCTCTACATAATGGTGATCAAAGATTCACCTAAGTCATAATCTATAAAAAAAATGAGCCAAAAATCAAAATTCTTCAATCACTCTGTAAATCGCATCTCCTTCCAGAAAATTCCTAGGAACCTCCAACTAGGTCGTTATACAGTAGACACATTCCAGTACCTGATCAATATTCAGTGAATTTTTTCTGGGCTCAAAATTGAGAAAATAATATATTAGGTCGTTTCGAAAGTAATTTCGCTTTTTTCAAACGGGCGCCACATCTGATGGAACAAAGGTTTCTAAGAGATTCTGGCAGCATTCAATGCAGCATTTCATTCTCTTTCTAATGGTTATGAAATTGTTGCAAAACAATCAATGAGCTTCCAGAAAATAACCAAAATCTGCGACCCATGCTTTTTGAGATAATCAAGTTTCACGATTTTTTAAAACTTTCATATTAATCCTCAGAAGGAGTTCAAGTAATATTCGATAGAGTAAACCTTGTAGAATACAGTGCTACTTTATTCTCTTTCTCGTAGCTCGCCGTAATCTTTTAAAAGGATTTTTTAACAGAAACATTGGATTTTGGCAGGCCCACCTCAACCACAATCGCATCAAACATCATAATTTTTCGGAATTTGAGACTAACAAGATGGTACTATGAGTTAGCATTAATTTTACAAAGCAAGTGAGGGTTTACGGGTTCAAAATATCAAATTTCGAGTTTTCCGGGTACAGCCTGGGGCTCGCTAAAAAAATGAGTTATGATGATTTCTCCCCGGAAACTAAACGAATCGAAAACAAAAAAACACCCATTAGAAAGAGGAGTAAATGCTGCATCGAATAGTGCGCGAGCTGCTCTCCTTTTGATGTTCTACGAGGATTTAGCTGCCCAGGTATGGAAATCGGTAACGTCAGTTAAAAATCTGTCAAAAATGTATGACAAGCTATGGAAAGGAGAAAAAAGTAGTACTGTTCTATAAGGTTTACTCTATCGAATCGTTACTTGAGCTTCTTCGCAGGATTGATATGAAAGTAACAAAAAATCGTGAAACTTGACCATCTCAAAAAGCATGGGTCGCAGATTTTGGTTATTTTCTGGAAGCTCATTGATTGTTTTGCAACAATTTCCTAACCATTAGAAAGAAAATGAAATGCTGCATCGAATGCTCTTAAGTTCTCTCAGGGACCTTTGTTCCATCAAATGTGGCGCCCGTTTGAAAAAAGCGAAATTACTTTTGAAACGACCTAATAGTTCGAAAATGCAAAAATGTCACTTTCTCCGGTTTTCTTATGTCAAACTAGGACTTCTCGATTACCAGGGCGCATATAGAGATAAGGTATTGAAACTATACTTAATAAGGCTTGTAGTATACAATGACTTATGTGGGAGAGGCTAGGGGCGGAGTTTGCCACTTTTGGATGATTTTTGTTCCTCGCTTTCTGTGCTCGGAAAAAATTGGGTAAA